TGGAAGACACTGTCATGCAGATTCGGGTGTCATCTGCAAAGGAAGACACGGTGCTGTGGCTGACATCCTTGTCTATGTCGGATATAAGGATGAGGAACAAGATGGGAGCTAGTACTGTGCCTTGTGGAACAGAGCTTTTCACCGTAGCTGCCTCGGACTTTACTCTGTTGACGACTACTCTCTGTGTTCTGTTAGTGATATGTACCAAGAGCTGCTGTGGATACCCAAAACCGAAGATAGTAGCCAACCCTATACATATATAAATTGTTTTTCGTTTACATACATACCTATGATAAAATTTAATTGTTATATTACCCTCAACGAGTCAAAAATCAGCACTTTTTCACTGATGGGAAGCACTTCACGGCTTCTCTTAGGCTTTGAAGATCTCCCACCATCACTACGTTTGCACTCTGGGACCGTTATTATTAAACAAAATTAAGGGTAATTTTCGGGCCACGGTAAAGCATGGAAACTGAATCCATGGATATGGGGGTTCTACTCTATGTTGATGATGATGGTGAGGTTAGGCAAGGTAAGGTTAGGTTAGATAAGGTAAGGTAAGGTATGGTAAGGTAATGTTAGGTAAGGTTACGTTAGGTAAAGTTACGTTAGGTAAAGTTACGTTAGGTAAGGTTACGTTAGGTAAGGTTACGTTAGGTAAGGTTAGGTTAGGTAAGGTTACGTTAAGTAAGCTTAGTTTAGGTTAGGCAGGGTTACTTTAGGTTAGGTTACGTTAGGTAAGGTTACGTTAGGTAAGGTTACATTAGGTAAGGTTACGTTAGGTAAGGTTACGTTAGGTAAGGTTACGTTAGGTAAGGTTACGTTAGGTAAGGTTACGTTAGGTAAGGTTACGTTAGGTAAGGTTACGTTAGGTAAGGTTACATTAGGCAAGGTTACATTAGGTAAGGTTACGTTAGGTAAGGTTACGTTAGGTAAGCTTAGGTTAGGTTAGGTAGGGTTACGTTAGGTTACGTTAGGTAAGGTTACGTTAGGTAAGGTTACGTTAGGTTAGGTAAGGTTACATTAGGTAAGGTTACGTTAGGTTAGGTAGGGTTACGTTAGGTTAGGTTACGTTAGGTAAGGTTACGTTAGGTAAGGTTACGTTAGGTAAGGTTACGTTAGGTAAGGTTACGTTAGGTTAGGTTAGGTAGGGTTATGTTAGGTTAGGTTACGTTAGGTAAGGTTACGTTAGGTAAGGTTACATTAGGTAAGGTTACGTTAGGTTAGGTTATGTTAGGTAAGGTTGCGTAAGGTAAGGTTAAGTTAGGAAAGGTTACGTTAGGTAAGGTTAGGTTAGGTTAAGTAAGGTTACGTTAGGTTAGGTTACGTTAGGTAAGGTTACGTTAGGTAAGGTTACGGTAGGTAAGGTTACGGTAGGTAAGGTTCGTTAGGTAAGGTTACGTTAGGTAAGGTTACATTAGGTTAGGTTAGGTAAGGTTACATTAGGTAAGGTTACGTTAGGTTACGTAAGGTAAGGTTACGTTAGGTTAGGTAAGGTTACGTTAGGTTACGTTAGGTAAGGTTACGTTCGGTTACGTTAGGTAAGGTTACGTCAGGTAAGGTTACGTCAGGTAAGGTTAGGTTAGGTAAGGTTACATTAGGTAAGGTTACGTTAGGTTACGTAAGGTAAGGTTACGTTAGGTTAGGTAAGGTTACGTTAGGTTAGGTTACGTTAGGTTAGGTAAGGTTACGTTAGGTAAGGTTACGTTAGGTAAGGTTACGTTAGGTAAGGTTACGTTAGGTAAGGTAACGTTAGGTAAGGTTACGTTAGGTAAGGTTACGTTAGGTTAGGTAAGGTTAGGTTAGGTAAGGTTAGGTTTAGGTAAGGTTATGTAAGTTACGTAGTAAGGTTACATTATGTAAGGTTACGTAGGTAAGGTTATGTTAGGTAAGGTTACATTATGTAAGGTTAGGTTAGGTAAGGTTACGTTAGGTAAGGTTATGTTACGTTAGGTAAGGTTTGTCAGGAAAAAGGACAAGTGTTTCCTGACATGGGGTCTTAGTCACCGCCACTGGAGTTTTTGCTCATCTGACTGAGACCTTCCACTGGCTTACCCCTCCACCCCTTTAAAAATTATGATTATTATTATTATAATTTTTAGCGAGGGAGAGAGACAACTGTGGGGTACAAATATGCCAGAAGACGGACGCTAGTAATTGTAATATTAATACCTGGAAGAAAACATTATACAGCAAAATAAAGTCACTAATGGGCAAACAATATAGCAAACCAGTAATAAAGTAACTATTGCTGGGTAAACAAACAAACAGCAGGGCAATAATAAAGTCAAGGACAAACAGTAACTACAAAACAAAAATATCGTAAATACAAAAGAAAAACAAGAAAAAATTTGGCAAATGTAACATTTACAAATAAAAAAAAAAAGATACTTCCAGTTACCTTTTAGTGGAAAGAAATCCCCAAAAAAAATTACTACAAAGACTGGACAACAAACACTGCGTCTTTTCTTGGGCCAATCATTGCTCGTTACCTATGGTGTATAATTCAAAGCGAAGGACCTATCTCCACTTTGTGGGATAGGTCCTTATTACACTTGCTAATTTCCACTTGTCAGGTACTATGCCAGTTTGTAGAGATATGTTGAAAAGACGAGTCAATGGTTTGCTAAGTTCCTCCTTACATTTCTTTAAAACCCTTGTGAACAGTTTATCAGGTCCCTGGGACGTGTTTGGTGTTAATCTGTATAATCATGGGTCTTCAACATGCACTCCAGTCTCTCCCACCGAAACATCGTCGTAAGCTCCTCTCTTCTATGTGCGGGTTACTTGTGTATCGTTCCAGTCACGGTATTGTGCCCTTTTTATGTTATTTGTTATAAACATGTACGGTGGACCCTCACCTAACGATATTAATTGGTACCCGAGAACGAATATCGTTAGGCAAGTTTTTTAGCGTTAGCCGAGGCAAAATGTTAGCGTTAAAATGTATCATTAGGCAAATTTAACGTTATGCGATGCGTTCGTTAGGCGAGGGTCCACTGTATTTATACTTACAACTTTAATCTTGCAAAAATCATTTCTGTCCTGATCTACATAATTTTTTATTTCTGAATTTTGCTAACATCATCTTGGCTTGTCAGCCATGCGCCATTTATCTTCACTGTTATATACAAATACTGTTAACAAATTATATAGAATAAACCCAAAAAAGTCGGTAAATTATTTCTATTAGGGTCACTCCATTACTATCGGCAGAAAACCTGACGATAGTAATTTACTGCATACACATTCATGCACATTACTGTTTGTAGATGAATGGTTCAGAGAACCGACATGTTGATAAATTAGACACATGTGCAACTCTTGGGAATCTTTATTGAGGAAACGTTTCGCCACACAGTGGCTTCATCAGTCCATACGTAGGAGAAACTTGAAGAACAGGAGGAGAATGAGGTAATCAGTCCCTCAACCTTGAGTCGATGTGTTCAGTCCATCAATCTAGAATAGAATACGGCATATGAGCGGAGAAGCAGCTTATAAACCGTATGGCAGGAGAGGTGCAGCAGTCATAGGTGGTGTCACATTTGTTCAATGTGGAAGTAGGTTGTGCCCAAGAATTAGGCAAGCAAAGAATTCCTAAGTATTAAGATCCCAAGAAGTTGCAGTGTCTGACAGTTTTGTAGATGAATTGCACATGTGTCTAATTTATCAACATGTCGGTTCTCTGAACCATTCATCTACAAACCTGTCAGACACTGCAACTTCTTGGGATCTTAATACTTAGGAATTCTTTGCTTGCCTAATTCTTGGGCACAACCTACTTCCACATTGAACAAATGTGACACCACCTATGACTGCTGCACCTCTCCTGCCATACGGTTTATAAGCTGCTTCTCCGCTCATATGCCGTATTCTATTCTAGATTGATGGACTGAACACATCGACTCAAGGTTGAGGGACTGATTACCTCATTCTCCTCCTGTTCTTCAAGTTTCTCCTACGTATGGACTGATGAAGCCACTGTGTGGCGAAACGTTTCCTCAATAAAGATACCCAAGAGTTGCACATGTGTCTAATTTATCAACATGCACATTACTAAATTGAAAGAGAAAAACTTTCGTTTTATTTTATAAGTCACCCTGCCTCCTCTGTTGGATATGGCCGGTGTGTTGAAAAGAGAGAAAAAAAATACATGCATGATATAGTATATTAAAGATGTATAATTCAACCCAAAAAAATTATATAGGCAAGTATAATTCTTTTTACAATACTCTTTTTGGGTTAAATATTTTTACCCCTCGAGTGTTTTCTTTTTACTTTTTAAGAGATGAAATTCCTGGTAAATTGTAGTGGTGGAATGATACCAAAATGCATGCCGATGACGATAATTTCAGGCCAAGAATGATACCGATACCATCAAAATTAGCCAATACCACTGATACTGTTACTTTGGCATACCCATGATAAACTGCACCCCTATAATGTTGGTATTTTCTGGACTCGCCTCCCAATGTATATTGTGATATGTGTCTAGTCCCAAATTAAAATACACCTACCATCCGACTTATGACCGAGTTCGGTTCCGAGAAACCGGTCGTAAGTCGAAATGGTCGTAAGTTGAACTTTACTACTGAATATCAACAAAACATTTTTGTATGACTTTATTTTATTGTTTTATTTTGGTATTTCATGTTTTACTTTACTTTTTATGTTGTTAGTACTGTGTTTTATACTGTAAGGTTTAGCATAAACACTGTGTACAACACAAATACTGATTTATTTCCCAGAAATTTGGCATAAAAACACGGTCGTAAGTCGAGTGGTCGTAAGTCGAGCAGGTCGGATGGTAGGTGTACATACACCTACTGTGCCAAGTATAAAATATTACAGTACTACAACTGCACTACTACTATTACTACTACTCCTGTACTATCGCCACTGCTAATATTGCTGCTACTTTTGCTATATATCAACAGGTAGCGAGAAAAGCAAAAGAAAAACATTGAGTAAATACGCACTTCTCCGTTACACTCTACCTTTACTGCTACCATCGGCTTGGAAAGCGTCGGCCGCACTTCACTAATGGGCTTGTTCTCCGTCCCGTTGGAGATCCACGACCTCGGAGCTGGTACTGGCACGTCAACAACTTCGGGAGGCTTGTGTTCTTCTCGTTTGCTTAACGGCCCTCGGTGAATCTTAGAGGAGATGTGAAAACATGAAAGGCTTCTGCTGAAGAGAACCCCAGAAGGGGGTCAAAATATACAGATCAATTTTTCTTCTGAATTCCTGTCTCCATGTGGGTTTGACTTGAACCATCAACTAGTCCAAGTCAGGCTCAAATGTCATCATAAATTTCTTTCTATATATGGTTATCTGTATAATTAACACCCTTTGTATTAACATCTGCATGTACACCCAAATGTCATTCACCTTTGTACATCGTATCATGCTCTAAGTATTATTATTATCAGTACAGTGGACCCCCGCATAACGATTACCTCCGAATGCGACCAATTATGTAAGTGTATTTATGTAAGTGCGTTTGTACGTGTATGTTTGGGGGTCTGAAATGGACTAATCTACTTCACAATATTCCTTATGGGAATAAATTCGGTCAGTACTGGCACCTGAACATACTTCTGGAGTGAAAAAATATCGTTAACCGGGGGTCCACTGTACTTCTACCATGTCAGTGGATGACTTCAACAATTCTATAGAACAACAGGAGTCTCTTACACAGAGTTCTATTCCTCTCCGTGACTTAGTGACTCACACTTGTACACGTGGTAATTTTATATCAATATGTCATTGTCCAAAACATCAATTTTTGTGTTTTCACAAATGCTGTAGTTGTTAGTTGTTTTGTTGTTGACTGCTGTTGTATAAGTAAACAAGCAGTAAACCTGCATACGTCACACGGCACCACGTAACCTTACGAACTGAGAATGATTGATGATGAAGAGCAAGTGATGATTTTCTGGAGTGATGATGATTACCTGGAACTTGGGTGTTGGCCGCTTGGCTGGGTCGAGAGAGATAGTTTTCACAGAGACATTAGCACCTCCGAGCCACTGGGAGATCGTCGTCGAGGGCTCGTAGCCGTGAGTCTCCGGGAAGATGTCAGAGTGGAACTCTCTGTATGTCTGCAAGACCGACAGCAAGCATTGTACCCCAAAAAATATTAGTGGTATTATATAACTATTTTTTCACATACTGGCCATCTCACACCAGTATTGCCCCCCCCCCCTAAAAAAAAAGGAAACACATCACTGTTACTCACTCAATCACTGTCTTGTGAGATGTGTGCTCACATTACATTTTAAATGACCCTCTGAACTGCAACTTCCCAACTCCTTCAGAGTACAGGCATACCTCACTAATACAGTGCTCACTTTAGAAGATTTTGCTGATATGGCACTTGTTGATTATATTCAGCACTTGTCTCATTCTTAAGATAGTACAGTGGACCCCCGGTTTACGATCAGCTCCCAATGCGACCAATTATGTAAGTGTATTTATGTAAGTGCATTTGTATGTGTATGTTTGGGGGTCTGAAATAGACTAATCTAATTCACAATATTCCTTATGGGAACAAATTCGTTCAGTACTGGCACCTGAACATACTTCTGGAATGAAATAATATCGTAAACCGGGGGTCCACTGTATTTTTGTCCACTGTATTCTGCAATTTTCAAATTATTTTAATTTATTTTTACTTTTGCATCATTTTTTTAGGCCTAGTGATATTGCACACTTAATAAATGGTAGTGTAAAAATGTTTTTAGGCTTTTATCTGTAATGGGAAGTGAAATTAAGGCCGCAATTCGCTTTACAGTCGGGAACCTTACCCACCGTATTAGACAGGTATGCCTGCACTTCACACCTCCTCTGCTCAAATCTGGCTAACCAGTTTCCCTGAATCCCTTCATAAATGCTACCTTGCTCACACTCCAACAGCATGTCAAGTCATAAAAAACACTCATCTCAACTCACTCGAACCTAATTGCAAATACATACTCACCTTGCGAGGCACCTGATAGGTGATGGGGATAATGGCATTGGAGGTGAGTTGCAGCACCCGGTTCACCTCACCGTTCATGACGTCGAGGCCACGTTTCGGCACCAGACACGCCCCTTTGGTCTGCACTGAACCTGACCAATCACAAATTACAACTTAGCAGAAATGCAATATGTAAGACAATCCAATTTTCAATGTAAATTGGTTATATGTACCCTAATACCTTTGTAATAATAGCTTAAAGACTTTCAATTACTGGCGCCCCTCGACTTATGATGGTTCAACTTGTGATATTTCAAGTTTACGATGGTGCAGCAGCAGTTACTTTGCGGATGAAACTTGAGATAATTAAACCATACCCCCGGCCGGGACTGAACCCGCGGTCATAGAGTCTCAAAACTCCAGCCCGTCGCGTTAGACTCTATGACCGCGGGTTCAATCCCGGCCGGGGGTATGGTTTGTTTGCAATCGTGTCATTACGATTTCTTAAGTCGTGTTGAGATAATTACCCAACGTGAAGGTGGTAAGTTAGGTAAGACACATATGCAACAGTTAGGTATCTTTATTATGAAACGTTTCGCCTACACAGTAGGCTATCAACTTTTCTGTACTTGACTGAAGAAGCCTACTGTGTAGGCGAAACGTTTCATAATAAAGATACCTAACTGTTGCATATGTGTCTTACCTAACAACCTGTCGGTATTTTATACCATTTTAATGTTCAAGGTGGTAAGTCCCTGACTTGCATTCATTTATTTACTTCAATACTGGTATTTAATTACAGTAATTATTTGTGGGATACGGCCGGTGTGTTGAAAGAAAGAAAGAATTATTTGTTTATTTACTTATGCAGTAATAGTTATTTATTTATTTATTTAGCATATATGTATTCATGTTCAACTTACGATATTTTCAACTTGTGATGGTTCACTGGAATGTAACGCTGTTGTAAGTCGAGGACCGCCTGTACTTAATCCACGAGGGTTTTTAACCCTTAAACTGTCCAAACGTTGATCTACATTCTCGTATATAGCGCTCTGAACGTAGATATACTTTTTTATTTTACGTTTGAAAGCTGGTAAGATAAAACGTAGATCTACGTTCGGAGTGCAACGCACGTGAACGTAGATCTAGGTTTGGACAATTTAAGGGTTAACCCATGAAAACCCATAGAATGCCTAGGAGAATAATCCTCATGGGTTACTAACCCATAGGATGTCCAGATGGAGATCCTATGGATGCAATTTTTTCAATTACATTTTTTTCAATTACATTTTTTTCAATTACATTTTACAAAAAACGGACTATACAGAGAAGCTTTATATTTCGTGACTCATGAATGTACAGAATCCATGGAATGGGTTTAAACCCATGGCACAAGTGTCTTAAAACTCCCGATTTACAACTCGCTTACCATGGGTTCTAACCCCACTTGTTCCATGGTTTGTACTGTGCAACATATGTACATTATACGAGACTGATGGATTGAACACATTGACTCCAGGCTGAGGGACTGATTACCTCAAACTCCTCCTCTCTGTACATCCTTCTGATTTGCATTGGACTGATGGAGCCACTGTGTGGTGAAACATTTCCTCAATTAAGATTCCCATATGTTGCATAAGTGTCTTAATCTTCAACTTGTTGGGTTTTTTAAACCATTTATCACATGGTTTGTATGACACACTATTCTAGTCAATGAACATAACAGACATTACAGTAATTCACTCCACTCGGAGGATGGTCAGGATTAAATTTATCAAGGTGGAAACATCTCTCTGAGTACTTACCATTATGCTTGAGGCCCTCGGTAAGGAAAGGCTCCTTCTCGGTGACTTCCCAATACATGATGCTGACGTCGGCCTTGCCGGCCAGGAACAGCATATTGGTGTCTACGTCAAATAGCGGCATCAAAATGCTGCCCCAAAAGAGGTAGAGATTCAGATCGGTGAGAATGTGCAAGAAACGAGTCAACAAATAAGTCATACTGTAATACCAAGCCTGGAACAATACATAAATACAGTAGTGTCCTGGTATCCCCGCGGGATGCATTCCAAGATCTACTGTGGATAGTAGCAAACCCTATATATAAGTTATTTTTTGAAGTCGGTGCCTGACCAGCCGGGCTGTGGCTCGTACGTTGGTTTGCGTGCAGCCAGCAGTAACAGCCTGGTTGATAAGGCTCTGATCCACCAGGAGGCCTGGTCACAGACCGGGCCGCGGGGGCATTGACCCCCGGAACTCTCTCCAGGTAAACTCCAGGTAATACTATGATTAAGTTTAATTGATAAATTATGCACAGTAAGTGGAGAATTGTCAATTTTTTACTGATGGGAAATACTTCACAGCTTCTCTTAGGCTTCGAACAACTGCCACCATCACTAGTTTTACACATTATTAAGCAAAGTTATAGGTTCTTTTTTGGGCCATGGTAAACTGCGACAGCTAAAACCACAGAAACCAAGTCTGCAGATATGTAGGTTCTACTGTAACTTGCACGTAGGTGAAAGAAAATAAATGACGATATTTCAGTACAGTGGACCCCCGCTTAACGATCGGCGACCAATTATGTAAGTGCGTTTGTACGTGTATGTTTGGGGGTCTGAAATGGACTAATCTACTTCACAATATTCCTTATGGGAACAAATTCGGTCAGTACTGGCACCTGAACATACTTCTGGAATGAAAAAATATCGTTAACCGGGGGTCCACTGTACAACCTGGACCATTAATTAGTAACTGGTGTGTGACTAATTAATGGTCCGAGTGGGAGCGAGATGTCGTCGTAAGATTCACTCTCCTGTGTGCGGGTTATTTGTATATTGCAAGAAACTTTCTACAGATTACATTAAAACGATTTTTTTCACACAGTCGTATCCTACCAAGGCCTCAGGGCGACTCGAAAAAGAAACACACAGTTTTCCTTTTTTTTATTTTTAGTAATTTAAACAGGAGAGGAGTTACTAGCACCTTGCTGCCTAAAATTATTATTATTATTGTTACAGTGGTTGGTGATCTGCGAAAAATCATTGGGATCACAACTCTGAGTAGCTTATGCTTGCTTATGATTTTTTTTGAGGCATTTAAAGAAACCAGCTTACATCTTACAAGTATCACCTGGTTCTATTGCTCGGATCTATTGTGATATATTGCTTAGATCTATTGCAGGGAAACTTACCCAGTTGAGGAGTCAAAGCCCTGAATTTTGTAAGGCTTGGAGAAGTTGCGCAGATCTCGCAGTCTAACCTCTCTGACACGTGAACCGTCCCAGCCAGTGGACAAGATGCGTTCGCTGTGACCGAGCCACTCCACCCTTGAGTCTTTGGGACTCTTGTGGCTCTCGGCCTAAACAGAAAGAAATGCAATGATAACATCATTTGCAAAGTCGTAATAATGCGATTACAAACCACAGAACGGGTGGAATTTGTAACCATGTCAAGTAAGTTTTAGAGCTCCAAGCCAGTGGCTTAAGCCACTCGCCATGGTTTCAAGCCCCACTTGTTCAGTGGTTTGGTTAGCTAATACTGTTTACAGTCACCTCTCTTAAAAAAGTGCCTCTATACAGTGATTTTTTTGAAATTTAAAATGGAAAAACATGTGAAAAAGCCACATAGAATGTGCTATTTACTACTAAATATAATTTTTCCAGGTAAGAACATAAGAAAATAGGTACAGTGCACCAGGCCTACTGGCCCATACTAGGCATTTACAAAAAATTATGCTACACGTATTTAGAAAAAGTTTAAAAAACAGTTTACTGTGTTATCTAATGAACCCATTTATCTATTTCATTATTTTTAACATGCCAGCCATCTTACACTCAGGACGGGTGACTAAAAAAAGTTGAAAAAGAGGAAACACATTCACCATCATTCACTTAATCCACAGAAGTCTGTGTCCCTCGGTGGGACACAGTCGATGTATATCATCTTTAATTTGGTGTATCTATCATCCTTAATTTGGTGTAGCTATCATCCTTAATTTGGTATAGCTATCAACCTTAATTTGGATGACAGCTACGTATGAACTTTGACCTTAGTAAAGAATAAAAACAGCACAATACCGTGACTGGAACAATACACAAATAACCCGCACATAGTATAATAATAATAATACGTAATAATCTTTGTTACTATAAGTACGTGTACAAGGTATACAGACCATAGCTGACATCAATGACATACTACTATATAGAAAGTCCCTTGTTATGCAGAGCATTTCCCACAAATTATGTCAATTTTATCACAGGATGCCACCCACACCAGTCCACTAACACCCAGGATGCCACCCACACCAGTCCACTAACACTCAGGATGCCACCCACACCAGTCCACTAACACCCAGGATGTGACCCACACCAGTCCACTAACACCCAGGATGTGACCCACACAAGTCCACTAACACCCAGGATGCGACCCACACCAGTCCACTAATGCCCAGGATGCCACCCACACCAGTCCACTAACACCCAGGATGCCACCCACGCCAGTCCACTAACACCCAGGATGCCAACCACACCAGTCCACTAACACCCAGGATGCCACCCACACCAGTCCACTAACACCCAGGATGCCAACCACACCAATCCACTAACACCCAGGATACCACCCACACCAGTCCACTAACACCCAGGATGCCACCCACACCAATCCACTAACACCCAGGATGCCACCCACACCAGTCCACTAACACCCAGGATGCCATCCATACCAGTCCACTAACACCCAGGATGCCACCCACACCAGTCCACTAACACCCAGGATGCCATCCACACCAGTCCACTAACACCCAGGATGCCACCCACACCAGTACACTAACACCCAGGTACCTATTTTAATGCTAGCTGAACATGGACAATAGGTGTCTTAAGGAAACACGTCCTATTGTTTCCAACCGTACCAGGGATTGAACCATTGACCTAAGTGTATGAGCCAAGTGCTCTACCAATACAGTTATGGTGTTTCCGTGTGACTAGTCAATGGTCTGAGCAGGACTGAAACGTCATCACATGTTTCTGCTATATGCGGGTTATCTGTGTTCTGACCACAATAGCTACCACAGTAGGGTGACCCAAACAAGAAAACCCATTCATTATAAAGAACAAAAGTCACAATACCGTGACTGGAATGATACCATGACTGGAACAATACTGTGATGGGAACAATACAAATAACCCACACATAGGAAAGAGGAGCTTTCGACCATGTTTCAGTCCTAATTAGACCAACTACAGCCTTGCCTCACTTAGTGATGTACTTGTTTATCGACGCCTCGGACTTACGACGGGCTCTCTGACTAGTATGCATACCTAAATAATGTATATTTCCTCTATTCTGTTTATTACAATATACAGTACACTACTGTATAAACATTTAAAAATATACCAGAAATATTATAAATGGTGCAAAGGTGACATTAAAACAATATCAAAGATGGTTGACACAAACCCACTACCATTATAGTATGCTCCTCACTTAGTGACGAATTTGTTTACCAACGTGGTCTTAGGAATGGAACTCCGTCGTTAAGTGAGGAGAGGCTGTAGTCGCAAGCTTGTCTCCACTACGTGTGGGCTATCTGTGCACCAATCATTATAGGTCACTCACCCATATGGATCATGCAGCTACATTACATTAGAAGAACTACTAACCTCGTAGGCAACTTTATCAGCCCTAGGGTCAATAATACGGATGGTGCGGTCCCTGGAAGTGGTAACAAAGAGGGAGCCGTTACCGTTCCAGCTGGTGTTCTGCACCTGATCCTCGTGTCCGCTGAAGCCTGGGCAGCAGGGGGATGGGGGGGGAGGGGGTGGCAGGTTAAGAGGGAGGCCAGGATGTTAGTGCTGTTATAATAACCTACAGCTACAGTGCTCCTCGACTTGCGATGGGGTTATGCTCCGACGAACCCATTGTAAATTGAAAATATTTAAGTCAAATATGACGTGATAAGTAAATAAATAGCTACTGTCACTGAATAAGTAAATAATTACTAAATACAGTGGACCCCCGCATAACGATCACCTCCAAATGCGACCAATTATGTAAGTGTATTTATGTAAGTGCGTTTGTACGTGTATGTTTGGGGGTCTGAAATGGACTAATCTACTTCACAATATTCCTTATGGGGAAAAATTCGGTCAGTACTGGCACCTGAACATACTACTGGAATGAAAAAAGTTCGTTAAGCGGGGGTCCACTGTACCAGTATTGAAAAATAAATGAATCCAAGTTTGCCTTATCAATAATTGTACAGTACTGTAGAGTACTGTACAGTACAGAATGTGCAAGGGTACTGCACCATCATAAAGTTGACATATCAAAAGCCGAACCATCGTAAAGCGAGGAGCATCTGTATAGCTTTAGTATTAATGGTTTACAAATCAGACAGACCACGGAATGGGTGGGGTTCAAGCCCCCACCTGTTCCATGGTTTGCAATGGTGTTGTTATGATTACGTGAGTCATATTGGACAGGTCGACCAATAGGACGCACGTTGTGCAACACTTGAATTTCTTCACAGTGGAGGCGTTTTGCCAGCCAGCAGCCTTATCAGTCCAGTGTGGAGAATAATGCTGGAGACTGAGGAAGAGACAAAGGAGGAGTATGAGGTTATCAGTCCCTCAGAACACTTTCTAGCAATGACGAGGGACTGACTACCTCAACGTACTTCTCTATGTCTTCTATGGTATTATCCTCTGTACTGGACTAATGATGTCACCTAATGATGCACCTAAGGGTTGCACACGTCTTATTCGTCAACTACAGCCAATAAGAATGATGTTAAACAGAATGAAGAGTTTAATAATAACATGGAAAAGCAACTCGAAAAATACAAATCACAATTTTGAGGCTAGAAGAATTCTCAAATAATCCAAAATACTGTATTGTGGTTGCAACAATTCATATCTGACCCATAATACTATGGCTGGAACAATTCACAGTTATGTGATACAATAAGGAAAACATTTTAAATTATATACAACAAAAACAGAGAAGAATTTAGGCATGTGTTACTCTGTATAATTATTCTATAATTTTTTATTTTTTTTTAATATGGGTTGTCTCCCACTAAGGCAGGAAGACTCCAAAAAAGAAGAAACACCTTCACCATCATTCACTCATTAGGTGTCTTGCTAGAAAAGTGCAGACATCACAGTTCAGATGACCCTCTGAACTGTAACACCCCCACCCATCCTACAGTGTGCAGGTACTGTACTTCCCACCTCTGGTACTGTAACATCCTTACTCATCCTTCAGAGTACAGGCACTGTACTTCCCACCTCTGGTACTGTAACATCCTTACTCATCCTTCACAGTACAGACACTGTACTACCCACCTCCAGTACTGTAACATTCTCACTCATCCTTCAGAGTACAGGTACTGTACTTCCCACCTCCAGTACTGTAACATCCTCACTCATCCTTCAGAGTACAGGCACTGTACTTCCCACCTCCAGTACTGTAACATTCTCGCTCATCCTTCAGAGTACAGGCACTGTACTTCCCACCTCCAGTACTGTAACATTCTCACTCATCCTTCAGAGTACAGGTACTGTACTTCCCACCTCCAGTACTGTAACATTCTCACTCATCCTTCAGAGTACAGGTACTGTACTACCCACCTCCAGTACTGTAACATTCTCACTCATCCTTCAGAGTACAGGTACTGTACTTCCCACCTGCAGTACTGTAACATTCTCACTCATCCTTCAGAGTACAGGCACTGTACTTCCCACCTCCAGTACTGTAACATTCTCACTCATCCTTCAGAGTACAGGCACTGTACTTCCCACCTCCAGTACTGTAACATTCTCACTCATCCTTCAGAGTACAGGCACTGTACTTCCCACCTCCAGTACTGTAACATTCTCACTCATCCTTCAGAGTACAGACACTGTACTTCCCACCTCCAGTACTGTAACATTCTCACTCATCCTTCAGAGTACAGACACTGTACTTCCCACCTCTAGAACTGTAACATTCTCACTCATCCTTCAGAGTACAGGTACTGTACTTCCCACCTCCAGTACTGTAACATTCTCACTCATCCTTCAGAGTACAGGCACTGTACTTCCCACCTCCAGTACTCGAGTCTTAACCAGTTTCTTCGAAGTTAATATTATTATTATTGTTGTTTATTTTTTTTACAGTGTTTACCGGCCCAGAACACCTCGCACACAAAAGCAGCAAACACACAATTGTTGGTGAGAGCAAAAACAACAAAAAAAGCACATTACACTTTAAATTTTCTAAGTAAGCTTTCTTATAAACCTATTTTCTACAGTGCCATTTTCTACAGTGCCATTTTCTACAGTGCCATTTTCTACAGTGCCATTTTTTGCAAAATGCATTGAAAAGCAAATGTATCACACTATGAAGGCCTTTTTCAGGTGCTATTTGATTCTGGATGTGAACTTTTTTCAATGGTATTTTAAAAAACATACTATACATGTATATACAGTGGACCCCCGCATAACGATTACCTCCGAATGCGACCAATTATCTAAGTGTATTTATGTAAGTGCGTTTGTACGTGTATGTTTGGGGGTCTGAAATGGACTAATCTACTTCACAATATTCCTTATGGGAACAAATTCGGTCAGTACTGGCACCTGAACATACTTCTGGAGTGAAAAAATATCGTTAACCGGGGGTCCACTGTACATGTATATACATGTATATACAGAAGTTTAAAGGAGTGGGAATAAAACATCACGATACCGTGACTAGAGCAATACACAAACCACATATAGGAGAGAGAAGCTTACAACATGATCTGACGTTATGAAGCGTCGGTCTGGAGTTTTATGACTCTCTGATTGCGGGTTCTAACCCCGCCCGTGATATGGTTGGTAAACTTCTCTTTAATATGTGTTTGAGTTATTTGTGTATTTATGGAAAATTTTACATGTACAGTACGTTCTCCATGGGGAAGTGGAACAGAATTCTTCCTCCGTAAGTCATGCATGTCGTAAGAGGCAACTAAATTGCCCGGAGCAAGGAGTTGGTAACCCCTTCTCCTGTATACATTACTAAATGCTGGCAGCAAGGGGCTAGTAACACCTTCTCTGGTATATTTTACTAAATTTAAAAATAGAAACTATTTTTTTTTTTTGGCAACCCTGCCTCGGTGAGATACAGCCTGTTTGTTGAAAGATAATGTACAGTACATAACTCCATTTGGCCCACATTCAACAAGCCTAAATTCTCCTCTAATAATTAGTGATGAGTAATTATTATATTATTTATGAGAAAGCGCTAAGCCCACAGGGGTAGCTGCAATTCCTTGGATCAAATTAGTAGTGTGTTGTAACATCAACATACCTGGAGTTTACCTGGAGAGAGTTTCGGGGGTCAACGCCCCCGCGGCCCGGTCTGTGACCAGGCCTCCTGGTGGATCAGCGCCTGATCAACCAGGCTGTTGCTGCTGGCTGCACGCAAACCAACGTACGAGCCACAGCCCGGCTGATCAGGAACTGCCTTTAGGTGCTTGTCCAGTGCCAGCTTGAAGACTGCCAGGGGTCTGTTGGTAATCCCCCTTATGTGTGCTGGGAGGCAGTTGAACAGTCTCGGTCCCCTGACACTTATTGTATGGTCTCTTAACGTGCTAGTGACACCCCTGCTTTTCATTGGGGGGATGGTGCATCGTCTGCCAAGTCTTTTGCTTTCGTAGTGAGTGATTTTCGTGTGCAAGTTCGGTACTAGTCCCTCTAGGATTTTCCAGGTGTATATAATCATGTATCTCTCCCTCCTGTGTTCCAGGGAATACAGGTTTAGAAACCTCAAGCGCTCCCAGTAATTGAGGTGTTTTATCTCCGTTATGCGCGCCGTGAAAGTTCTCTGTACATTTTCTAGGTCGGCAATTTCACCTGCCTTGAAAGGTGCTGTTAGAGTGCAGCAATATTCCAGCCTAGATAGAACAAGTGACCTGAAGAGTGTCATCATGGGCTTGGCCTCCCTAGTTTTGAAGGTTCTCATTATCCATCCTGTCATTTTTCTAGCAGATGCGATTGATACAATGTTATGGTCCTTGAAGGTGAGATCCTCCGACATAATCACTCCCAGGTCTTTGACGTTGGTGTTTCGCTCTATTTTGTGGCCAGAATTTGTTTTGTACTCTGATGAAGATTTAATTTCCTCATGTTTACCATATCTGAGTAATTGAAATTTCTCATCGTTGAACTTCATATTGTTTTCTGCAGCCCACTGAAAGATTTGGTTGATGTCCGCCTGGAGCCTTGCAGTGTCTGCAATGGAAGACACTGTCATGCAGATTCGGGTGTCATCTGCAAAGGAAGACACGGTGCTGTGGCTGACATCCTTGTCTATGTCGGATATGAGGATGAGGAACAAGATGGGAGCTAGTACTGTGCCTTGTGGAACAGAGCTTTTCACCGTAGCTGCCTCGGACTTTACTCTGTTGACGACTACTCTCTGTGTTCTGTTAGTGAGGAAATTATAGATCCATCGACCAACTTTTCCTGTTATTCCTTTAGCGCGCATTTTGTGCGCTATTACGCCATGGTCACACTTGTCGAAGGCTTTTGCAAAGTCTGTATATATTACATCTGCATTCTTTTTGTCTTCTAGTGCATTTAGGACCTTGTCGTAGTGATCCAGTAGTTGAGACAGACAGGAGCGACCTGTTCTAAACCCATGTTGCCCTGGGTTGTGTAACTGATGGGTTTCTAGATGGGTGGTGATCTTGCTTCTTAGGACCCTTTCAAAGATTTTTATGATATGGGATGTTAGTGCTATTGGTCTGTAGTTCTTTGCTGTTGCTTTACTGCCCCCTTTGTGGAGTGGGGCTATATCTTCTGGCATATAAGGCACACTTTTTTTCCCCCCCAAAAATAGTCTTGGAAAATCAGGTAGTGTCTTATATACTCAAGGTGAGGGGTCAAGGCTTTGTGTTATGCTTTAGCAGTCGTTTACTAATGTTACGTTACAACTGTTTGGAAACATCGTCTTATATGATCATGCACCTCATGTGCCTGAAAATACAATACTTACCTGCTATATCCTCGCTTTTATATGTTGAGGCTAAATGGCTTATTCTGTGATGAATGATTCTATTGGTAGCCGCTTACTTAACCCTTTTACTGTCGCCCGCGTAGATCTACGCATTAATTCACAACACATTCAAACATTTTTTTTCTTTTCTAACACACATGCTGTTTCCCACCAAGGCAGGGTGACCCAAAAAAGGAGAAACACTTTCACCATCACTCACTCCGTCACTGTATTGCCAGAGGTTTGCCTACACTACATTTCAAAAACTGCAACATTAACACCCCTCCTTCAGAGTGCAGGCACTGTACTTCCCACCTCCATGACTCAAGTCCGAGCCAACCGGTTCCCCTGAATCCCTTTCTAAATGATACCTTGTGCACATTTCCTCTTGAGTACTTTTACATTACACTGAAATTATATTCAAAAGAAAATGATAGCATAAAAGATAATGTGAAACCATACCACGGGTGGGGATAGAACCCGCGATCAGTGTCTCTTAAAACTCCAAACCGTCACTGAGACTCTGATCGCGGGTTCAATCCCCGCCCATGGTATGGTTTTTTTGCAATCGTGTCATTACGATTTCGTCAGTCAAGATAATGTGTCACAAGCACTCATACAAGTAGATCAGTTTCCCCAAAAAAGTATTTCCTCAGTGTCATATCTCTTGGACTCTGCAAGTACTGATCATCAGGTCTTGGTGAGTATAGGTCGGCCATCATTAATCCGGCATCACTGGGACCTGTAGTGTGCCGGATTATTGAGTTTGCCGGATTACAGAGTGGTTAGGTTAGAATACACTTAATTAACCTGTCAATAGACTGCTATATCTTCCTCATATTCATCACTGCTTTCTCCTCCACTGACTTGCTGCTGTGGATTTACAACCATCTGTACAATTTCTGAGTTATAATGATGAAATTTGAAAGTATGCTAGCCGAAATTAGTGCCGGATTACTGATTGCCGGATTAGTGGTGGTCGACCTGTACTTGACCCCATGCTCTCGCCTCATACACTCAGATCAAAATGTATACTGATCTTGAAAACAGAGGGTTCACTTATTATGGAGCTCCTCTATATAGGTGCTCCTCGACTTACGACGGGGTTACATTCTGACGAACCCATCAAAAGTTCATAATATCCCATGTTGAATATGAATATATGATAAGTAAAATAACTACTGTTATTGTATAGGTAGACAATTACCATAGCTATCAGTATTGAAAGGTAAATAAATGAATATAAAATTAATCCTATCAAATGTACAGTAACGTACAATACTGTATGATGGTGACATTAAGACTTATGATGGTGCTAATACACCATCGTAAAGCCGAAATATCATAAATCAAACCAACGTAAAGCGAGGAGCATTTGTAAAGTGAGATTTGTGAATGCAACTGAATAAGTGCATCATGAATTGAATAGGAAGACCTCTCCAGGTGGTATTCAATTTTGGCTGCCCTTTTTCCATCTCATTTACAAAAAACTCACACTATATAGAGAATTATAAGAGAGCTGACTGAACGTGTCTTAATATAGCCGAGGCCTAGTCACGGATTGGGACACAGAGGCACTGACCCCCAGAACACCCTCTAATACTCACTAAAAATTTCTTTCTCATGCTTGATGTCCCACAGTTTGATGGTATCAAAATACGCCACCGTGAGCAGAAATTCCGTGGTCGGGTGGAATAGCACATTCTCGACTCGTTTGTCAAACTGAGGCAGTGAATACTCAGCATTGGCCAGACTCTCGGTCAGGCCAGCCTCTGGAATATGCCACACTCTTACCTGAAACAGAAATAAGTATTATAGAACTTACGAGAGTTTAAACAAGTGGAAGAATCCTTCTTCCACAAACCCCAAGTGTCGTAAGAGGTGACTATAATGCTGGCGGCAACGTGCTAGTAACCCCTTCTCCTGTACATAAATTACTAAATGCAGGAACAAGGTGCTAATAACACCTTCTATATAAATTACTACATGTAAAGAAAAACTTTCGTTTTTCTTTTTAGGTCACCCTGCCTCGGTGGCAGACAGCCGGTGTGTTGAAAGAAAAAAAAGAAGTCAGCTCATTTATAAAGCTCTTCTATACAGTGTAAGTTTTGTGAGTCGGACTTGAGTCCTGGAAATGGGAAGTACAATGCCTGCACTTTAAAGGAGGGGTTTGGGATATTGGCAGTTTGGAGGGATACGTTGTGTATCTTTATACGTACAGTGGACCCCCGCATAACGATCACCTCCGAATGCGACCAATTATGTAAGCGTATTTATGTAAGTGCGTTTGTACGTGTATGTTTGGGGGTCTGAAATGGACTAATCTACTTCACAATATTCCTTATGGGAACAAATTCGGTCAGTACTGGCACCTGAACATACTTCTGGAATTAAAAAATATCGTTAACCGGGGGTCCACTGTATATGCTTCTAAACTGTTGTATTCTGAGCACCTCTGCAAAAGCAGTGATAATGTGTGAGTGTGGTGAAAGTGTTGAAATGATGAAAGTATTTTCTTTTTGGGGATTTTCTTTCTTTTTTGGGTCACCCTGCCTCGGTGGGTCACCCTGCCTCGGTGGGTCACCCTGCCTCGGTGGGTCACCCTGCCTCGGTGGGTCACCCTGCCTCGGTGGGTCACCCTGCCTCGGTGGGTCACCCTGCCTCGGTGGGTCACCCTGCCTCGGTGGGTCACCCTGCCTTGGTGGGAGACGGCCGACTTGTTGAAAAAAAAAAAAAATGAAAAAAACATATTCAAAACTAAACAGCATAAACAAAGACCCTCACAATGTGGTGCTCAATGTTCAGTATATTTTTTTAAGTTACATTTGCAAAAAAAATCAAACTATATAGAGAAGCTTTATAAGACAATATTAGTCCTTAAGATTATCTTAACCCTTAAAGTGCCCAAGCGTTGCTCCACATTTTTTTACGTGCTTTGTTACGGAGAAAATCAAGGTCGGAGTGCTGCGCACGCAAACGTAGATCTACGTTTGGACAGTTTAAGGGTTAAAATACATTATTAGTAAGTTTATTTAGGTGCATGTAGACAGAAGGACAATTATCATACATAGTGTAAATTACCCTCCACGATAATCCAAAAAATACTGTAAAGTCGAAGTGGCTTATTTCCTGTGACTGACTATTAACCCATTCTCAACTTTTAATATAACTTCTTGGGAAATAAAGTTATTGTATCAGTGGCCAGGAAATGGGAGAAACTGAGACATTCATAGGAAGCACTAAATCAGTAGGGGTTAGTGCCTTGGGAATGGGAGGTAATTTGATACAAGGAAGGAAATGAGATGCAATTCCTGGTAAGTTTACTGGTACGTACTAATTTTTACATTAGATGACGTTAGCTGACTGTTTTGTACGTTTTAGAAAGAAGACGCTAGCTGACATTGTACGTACTATTTTATACATCTTAGAATGATGATGCTAGCTGACATTATTTTTTATTTTATTGTTTTTTATTATCACACTGGCCGATTCCCACCAAGGCAGGGTGGCCCGAAAAAGAAAAACTTTCACCATCACTCACTCCATCACTGTCTTGCCAGAAGGGTGCTTTACACTACAGTTTTTAAACTGCAACATTAACACCCCTCCTTCAGAGTGCAGGCACTGTACTTCCCATCTCCAGGACTCAAGTCCAGCCTGCCGGTTTCCCTGAACCCCTTCATAAATGTTACTTTGCTCACACTCCAACAGCACGTCAAGTATTAAAAACCATTTGTCTCCATTCACTCCTATCAAACACGCTCACGCATGCCTGCTGGAAGTCCAAGCCCCTCGCACACAAAACCTCCTTTACCCCCTCCCTCCACCCTTTCCTACCCCACCTTCCTTCCACTACAGACTGATACACTCGCTCCATTCTCTCTACATGTCCGAACCACCTCAACAACCCTTCCTCAGCCCTCTGGACAACAGTTTTGGTAATCCCGCACCTCCTCCTAACTTCCAAACTACGAATTCTCTGCATTATATTCACACCACACATTGCCCTCAGACATGACATCTCCACTGCCTCCAGCCTTCTCCTCGCTGCAACATTCATCACCCATGCTTCACACCCATATAAGAGCGTTGGTAAAACTATACTCTCATACATTCCCCTCTTTGCCTCCAAGGACAAAATTCTTTGTCTCCACAGACTCCTAAGTGCACCACTCACCCTTTTCCCCTCATCAATTCTATGATTCACCTCATCTTTCATAGACCCATCCGCTGATACGTCCACTCCCAAATATCTGAATACATTCACCTCCTCCATACTCTCTCCCTCCACTCTGATATCCAATCTTTCATCACCTAATCTTTTTGTTTATCCTCATTACCTTACTCTTTCCTGTATTCACTTTTAATTTTCTTCTTTTGCACACCCTACCAAATTCATCCACCAATCTCTGCAACTTCTCTTCAGAATCTCCGAAGAGCACAGTGTCATCAGCAAAGAGCAGCTGTGACAACTCCCACTTTGTGTGTGATTCTTTATCTTTTAACTCCACGCCTCTTGCCAAGACCCTCCCATTTACTTCTCTTACAACCCCGTCTATAAATATATTAAACAACCACGGTGACATCACACATCCTTGTCTAAGGCCTACTTTTACTGGGAAATAATTTCCCTCTTTCCTACATACTCTAACTTGAGCCTCACTATCCTCGTAAAAACTCTTCACTGCTTTCAGTAACCTACCTCCTACACCATACACTTGCAACGTCTGCCACATTGCCCCCCTATCCACCCTGTCATACGCCTTTTCCAAATCCATAAATGCCACAACGACCTCTTTAGCCTTATCTAAATACTGTTCACTTATATGTTTCACTGTAAACACCTGGTCCACACACCCCCTACCTTTCCTAAAGCCTCCTTGTTCATCTGCTATCCTATTCTCCGTCTTACTCTTAATTCTTTCAATAATAACTCTACCATACACTTTACCAGGTATACTCAACAGACTTATCCCCCTATAATTTTTGCACTCTCTTTTGTCCCCTTTGCCTTTATACAAAGGAACTATGCATGCTCTCTGCCATTATACGTACTATTTTATACATCTTAGAAAGATGACTCAAGCTGACATTACAGGTACTATTCTGTACATCTTAGAAAGGCTATACGATGTATCAAATGCCAATGCCAATTGACCTCTTACATTGGCATCAGTGGAGCACGTTGCAAGGATGCCGTCGTCGAAGGGTGAGAAGTCAAAGTCTGTAATCAAGTCTGAATGGCCGTGAATGAGGGGAGTTGAGGGGTCCACTCGGCCTTTGTAGTCCAGCGGAACAATGCCCAGACTTCCACCACCTGAGGGAGACAATGCAGAAATGGTAACACTCCGTCATAGTCTTTTTGTTGTTGTTGTTGTACGCTACCAGCACTCTTAAGACTACAGGTGATCCTTGACTTACAATGGGGTTATGTTCTGACGAACCCATTGTAAGTCGAATATAATAATCCACAAGTACATGAACATGACATACAGGCCTAGCTGATATCAATGACATACTACTATATAGAAAGTCCCTTGTTATGCTGAGCATTTCAGGCAAATTAGGTCAGTTTTGTCCCAGGATGCCACCCACACCAGTCCACTAACACCCAGGATGTGACCCACACCAGTCCACTAACACCCAGGATGCCACCCACAGCAGTCCACTAACACCCAGGATGTGACCCACACCAGTCCACTAACACCCAGGATGCGACCCACACCAGTCCACTAACACCCAGGTACCTATTTCACTGCTAGGTGAACACTGACAGCAGGTGTCCGAAAGGAAACACATCCTAATGTCTCCACCCGTACCGGGGATTGTTCCCCGGACCTTAGTATGTGAGCTGAGTGCAGTATCAGTCGAGCTACAGGACACCTAATATACGATAAATAAATAAATTAATAACTACAGTCACTGAATAAGTATATAAATAATTACTGTAACTAAATACGAGTATTGAAGAGTAAATAAATGAATACAAGTTACGGACTTGTTACCTTCATGTTGGGTAATTATCTTAAGTTTCATATCTAAAATAATTGTTGCCGCGCCATCATAAAGTTAAACCAACACAAGTCGAGGAGCGCCAGTAGTGACATATTAAACCTAAAAAATGCACACAACATAAAGCCTCTCCTCACTTAATGGGTTTCTGGTCCTAAGAGTAGGTCAGTAAGTGAATTGGTTAAGTGAGGAGCATACTATACTGGTAGTGTGTTTGTGTCGACCATCTTTAGATATTTTTTTAATGTCACCTTTGCGCCATTTATAATATTTCTGGTATACAGTGGAACCTTGGTATACGTGCAGCTCCCTACTCGAACAAAGCTCAGCACTAGACCAAACAAATACGACCTGCCAGAACTTCGTGTTTCTTCGCATTTTTTGGTGTTTTCTATTAACTGTATAAATAAATTACCATGGGGCCTACAAATATTAGTAATAACAGCCAACCAAACAGAAAATTGGTTGGGAAGAGCTTGTTCGATACTCATACGGAGCGGCACTCGAACAGCCTTCTGGAATCAATTAAGTTTGTATACCTAGGTTCCACTGTATTTTTAAATGTTATACAGTAGTTTACTGTATACTTCAATAAACAGAACAGAGGAAATCGGCTCTAATTTACATTATTTAGGATTGCATACTGGTTGGAGAGCTGGTTGTAAGTCCTAGCGGTTGGTAAACGAGTACGTCGCTAAGTGAGGAGAGGCTATATTCATAATACAGGAAACCCTCAACTTACGAACATGCTGTAAGTCAACAACTTACTGTAGTGAATAATTACCAAGTTTACTTGTTAATGTATTAGCCGCTGCACCCCAGAGATCGCCATACCTCTATTTTCCACATTGAAGGCAATGAAGGCGGCAGAAGCCTTGATGTGGTTGCCGCAGGACTGGGGTGCACCGACCTTGATGTCGCTCACCCAATCTTCTTTCTTCGGTAGGAGCGGCGCGGCGTTCTTGTACTTGCTTACTTTAAACCTCCACGCCATGGTGCCAGCCTAATTATTCACACCCATTAATATTACTATAATGATAATTATAGGGATGAAAATTATGACAGAATCCTAATTATTAAAATATAGTTATTATACATAAGGATAGTATTTAAATTATTATTATTAATATGTAATCGTAATTACATATACATAAGAATATAAATTATCTTATAATCCAAAGATTAATTAAATTATCCTGTAATCCTCATTAATATATGTATATAAAAGGTTATTCAAATTATCCCATAATCCTAATTAAACAATTAAAATGGTTATATATGTATAATCTCACGGGGAATTAATCTCGACGGATAATAGGATATTTCATGTCTTATTTAAAAGTATATTGAATGAAATTAACCCCAGGGTGTTAACCCAGGATAACTGGTTAATAACCCAAGATACTGGTAATAACCAAGGATAACTAGTTAATAACCCAGGATAAGAGATGATTATCCACCCCAGAGTCAGTAACTCTGGATAGGGCAAGAGAAGGTTAACAATTCTGGATAATTAACCAAGGGGTTAATAACCCAGGATAACAGGTTAACCCAGGATAATTCATAACCCAGGACAACTAGTTAATAACCAGGGATAACTAGTTAATAACCCAGGATAACTGGTTAAGAACCTAGGATAACTAGCTAATAACCCAGGATAATGAGTTAATAACCCAGGATAACTAGTTAATAACCCAGGATAACGAGTCAATAGTCTAGGACAACTAGTTAATAACCCTGGACAACTAGTTAATAACCCAGGACAACTAGTTAATAACCGAGGACAACTAGTTAATAACCCAGGACAACTAATTAATAATCCAGGACAACTAGTTAATAACCCAGGACAACTAGTTAATAACCCAGGACAACTAATTAATAATCCAGGACAACTAGTTAATAACCCAGGACAACTAGTTAATAACCCAGGACAACTAATTAATAATCCAGGACAACTAGTTAATAATCCAGGATAACGAGTTAATAACCCAGGATAACGAGTTAATAACCCAGGACAACTAGTTAATAACCCAGGATAACGAGTTAATAACCCAGGATAACGAGTTAATAACCCAGGACAACTAGTTAATAACCCAGGACAACTAATAAATAATCCAGGACTAGTTAATAATCCAGGATAACGAGTTAATAACCCAGGATAACGAGTTAATAACCCAGGACAACTAGTTAATAACCCAGGATAACGAGTTAATAACCCAGGATAACGAGTTAATAACCCAGGACAACTAGCTAATAACCCAGGATAATGAGTTAATAACCCAGGACAACTAATTAATAACCCAGGACAACTAGTTAATAACCCAGGATAACGAGTTAATAACCCAGGACAACTAGTTAATCCAGGACAACTAGGTAATAACCCAGGATAACTAGTTAATAACCCAGGACAACTAGTTAATAACCCAGGCCAACTAGTTAATAACCCAGGATAACGAGTTAATAACCCAGGACAACTAATTAATAACCCAGGACAACTAATTAATAACCCAGGACAATGAGTTAATATGCCAGGACAACTAGTTAATAACCCAGAACAACTAGTTAACCCAGGATAACGAGTTAATAACCCAGGACAACTAATTAATAACCCAGGATAACGAGTTAATAACCCAGGATAATGAGTTAATAACCCAGGATAACAGGTTAATAACCCAGGATAACAGGTTAATAACCCAGGATAACAGGTTAATAACCCAGTATAAAAGGTTAACTCAGGATAACAGGCTAACCCAGGATAAGTTAACCCAGGATAACAGGTTAATAGCCCAGGATAACAAGTTAATAACTCAGGATAAAAGTTAACCCAGGATAAGTTAATAACCCAAAATAACAGGTTAATAACTCAGGATAACAGGTTAACAACCCAGGATAACGAGTTAATAACCCAGGATAACAGGTTAATAACCCAGGATAACAGGTTAATAACCCAGGATAATGAGTTAATAACCCAGGATAACGTTAATAACCAAGGATAACAGGTTAATAACCCAGGATAACAGGTTAATAACCCAGGATAATAGCTAATAATCCAGGATAACAGGTTAACCCAGGATAACAGGCTAATAACCCAGGATAATAGGTTAATAACCCAGGATAACAAGGTAATAACCCAGGATAACAGGTTAATAACCCAGGATAACAGGTTAATAACCCAGGATAACAGGTTAATAACCCAGGATAACAGGTTAATAACCCAGAATAACAGGTTAATAACCCAGGATAATAGGTTAATAACCCAGGATAACAGGTTAATAACCCAGGATAACAGGTTAATAACCGTGGATAACGGGTTAATATCCCAGGATAACGGGTTAATAACCCAGGATAACAGGTTAACCCAGGATAACAGGTTAACCCAGAATAACAGGTTAATAACCTAGGATAAGTTAATAACCCAGGATAACAAGTTAATAACCCAGGATAACAAGTTAATAACCCAGGATAACAGGTTAATAACCCAGGATAACAGGTTAATAACCCAGGATAACAGGTTAACCCAGGATAACAGGTTAATAACCCAGGATAACCCAGGATAACAGGTTAATAACCCAGGATAACAGGCTAATAACCTAGGATAACAGGTTAATAACCCAGGATAACGAGTTAATAACCCAGGATAAAAGGTTAATCCAGGATACCAGGGTAATAACCCAGGATAACAGGTTAATAACCCAGGATAACAGGTTAATAACCCAGGATAACCCAGGATAACAGGTTAATAACCCAGGATAACCCAGGATAACAGGTTAATAACCCAGGATAACGAGTTAACCCAGGATAACGAGTTAATAACCCAGGATAACAAGTTAATAACCCAGGATAACAGGTTAATAACCCAGGATAACAGGTTAATAACCCAGGATAACAGGTTAATAACCCAGGATAATGAGTTAATAACCCAGGATAACAGGTTAATAACCCAGGATAACCCAGGATAACAGGTTAATAACCCAGGATAACGAGTTAATAACCCAGGATAACAGGTTAATAACCCAGGATAACAGGTTAATAACCCAGGATAACAGGTTAATAACCCAGGATAACGAGTTAATAACCCAGGATAACAGGTTAGTAACCCAGGATAACGAGTTAATAGCCCATGATAACAGGATAATAACCCAGGATAACAGGCTAATAACCCAGGATAACAGGTTAATAGCCCAGGATAACAGGTTAATACCCAGGATAACAGGTTTTAATAACCCAGGATAACGGTTAATAACCAGGATAACAGGTTAATAACCCAGGATAACAGGTTAATAACCCAGGATAACAGGCTAATAAATCCAAGTGTTAACAGGTTAATAACCCAGGATAACAGGTTAATAAACCAGGATTAACAGGCTAAACCCAGGATAACAGGTTAATAACCCAGGATAACAGGCTAATAACCCAGGATAACAGGTTATTACCCAGGATAACAGGTTAATAACCCAGGATAACGAGTTAATAGCCCAGGATAACAGGTTAATAACCCAGGATAACAGGTTAATAACCCTGGATAACAGGTTAAAAACCCAGGATAACAGGTTAATAACCCAGGATAACGAGTTAATAACCCAGGATAACAAGTTAATAACCCAGGATAACAGGTTAATAACCCAGGATAACAGGTTAATAACCCAGGATAATGAGTTAATAACCCAGGATAACAGGTTAATAACCCAGGATAACAGGTTAATAACCCAGGATAACGAGTTAATAACCCAGGATAACAGGTTAATAACCCAGGATAACAGGTTAATAACCCAGGATAACAGGTTAATAACCCAGGATAACGAGTTAATAACCCAGGATAACAGGTTAGTAACCCAGGATAACGAGTTAATAGCCCATGATAACAGGATAATAACCCAGGATAACAGGCTAATAACCCAGGATAACAGGTTAATAGCCCAGGATAACAGGTTAATAACCCAGGATAACAGGTTAATAACCCAGGATAACAGGTTAATAACCCAGGATAACAGGTTAATAACCCAGGATAACAGGCTAATAATCCAAGGTTAACAGGTTAATAACCCAGGATAACAGGTTAATAACCCAGGATAACAGGCTAACCCAGGATAACAGGTTAATAACCCAGGATAACAGGCTAATAACCCAGGATAACAGGTTATTACCCAGGATAACAGGTTAATAACCCAGGATAACGAGTTAATAGCCCAGGATAACAGGTTAATAACCCAGGATAACAGGTTAATAACCCTGGATAACAGGTTAAAAACCCAGGATAACAGGTTAATAACCCAGGATACCAGGTTAATAACCCAGGATAACAGGTTAATAACCCAGGATAACGAGTTAATAACCCAGGATAACAGGTTAATAACCCAGGATAACAGGTTAATAACCCAGGATAACAGGCTAATATCCCAGGATAACAGGTTAATAACCCAGGATAACGAGTTAATAGCCCAGGATAACAGGTTAATAACCCAGGATAACAGGCTAATAACCCAGGATAACAGGTTAAAAACCCAGGATAACAGGCTAATAACCCAGGATAACAGGTTAATAACCCAGGATAACAGGTTAATAACCCAGGATAACGAGTTAATAGCCCAGGATAACAGGTTAATAACCCAGGATAACAGGTTAATAACCCAGGATAACAGGTTAATAACCCAGGATAACAGGTTAATAACCCAGGATAACGAGTTAATAACCCAGGATAACAGGTTAATAACCCAGGATAACAGGTTAATAACCCAGGATAACAGGTTAATAACCCAGGATAACGAGTTAATAGCCCAGGATAACAGGTTAATAACCTAGGATAACAGGCTAATAACCCAGGATAACGAGTTAATAGCCCAGGATAACAGGTTAATAACCCAGGATAACGAGTTAATAGCCCAGGATAACAGGTTAATAACCCAGGATAACGAGTTAATAGCCCAGGATAACAGGTTAATAACGCAGGATAACAGGTTAAAAACCCAGGATAACAGGTTAATAACCCAGGATAATAGGCTAATAACCCAGGATAACAGGTTAATAACCCAGGATAACAGGTTAATAACCCAGGATAACGAGTTAATAACCCAGGATAATAGGTTAATAACCCAGGATAACAGGTTAATAACCCAGGATAACGAGTTAATAACCCAGGATAATAGGTTAATAACCCAGGATAACAGGTTAATAACCCAGGATAACAGGTTAATAACCCAGGATAACGAGTTAATAACCCAGGATAACAGGTTAATAACCCAGGATAACCCAGGATAATTACCATATATAACTCCACCACATTTAATCCCCCTAAACCCCCCCAGGGGGGCAGTACCCCCAGAGAGGGTTAATACCCCTTAAATCCCCCAAAATAATGTTAAAATGGTGTTAAATAAGTTAAAAATAACGCCATTAGAGGCGGTCAGCCCCTCCCTCAGACACCTGTCAAACACCTCCTATTTTAACCCTTATTTCCGCCGCCCACGCCCATTTCCCGCCCATTATACCCCACTGTGGTGCCCCAGGGGTTCCTTAGCGGGGGCCTGGTGGGGGTTATGGGGTTCCCAGGGGTCTAATGGGGGAGAAAATGGGGAAAATAATGGGGTTATTCACCGCTTGTTTGAGAGCGTCCCAGCCAGGCGTCACTGTGTTGTTGATACCTACCTCCCCTTACCCCCTTATATTACCCCCTAGCTCCCCTTGTGTTACCTCCCCTTACCCCTTACTGCCAGGGGGTACCCCCGGGGGAACCCTACACCCTTACTCAAGACTTCCAACTGGTTTAACCCATTAATTTAGCTTCTATCACCGATTATTATAGTATTTGTACGCTAGTTCCTCCCTCCTCTCACCCCTTATATTACCCCCTAGCTCCCCTTGTGTTACCTCCCCTTACCCCTTACTGCCAGGGGGTACCCCCGGGGGAACCCTACACCCTTACTCAAGACTTCCAACTGGTTTAACCCATTAATTTAGCTTCTATCACCGAATATTATAGAATTTGTACGCTAGTTCCTCTCTCCCCTCACCACTTATATTACCCCCTAGTTCCCCTTTTCTTACCTCCCCTTACCCCTTACTACCAGGGGGATACCCCTGGGGAACCCTATACTCTTCCCCATGGTCCATTACTGGTTTAACCCATTAATTTAGCTTCTATCACCGATTATTATAGAATTTGTACGCTAGTTCCTCCCTCCTCTCACCCCTTATATTACCCCCTAGTTCCCCTTTTGTTACCTCCCCTTACCCCTTACTATCCCCCTTACCAGGGGGATACCCCCGGGGAACCCTATACTCTTCCCCATGGTCCATTACTGGTTTAACCCATTAATTTAGCTTCTATCACCGATTATTATAGAATTTGTACGCTAGTTCCTCCCTCCCCTCACCCCTTATATTACCCCCTAGCTCCCCTTGTGTTACCTCCCATTACCCCTTACTACCAGGGGGATACCCCCGGGGAACCCTATACCCTTCCCCATGGTCCATTACTGGTTTAACCCATTAATTTAGCTTCTATCACCGATTATTATAGAATCTGTACACCTCTTTCACCCACCCTTCACCCCTTATATCTCTCCCTAGCTCCCCTGGTGTTACCTCTACCCCTTACTACCCTTGGGACACCCCTGGGACACCCTTACCAAAGACTTCCAACTGGTTTAACCCATTAACTAAGCTTCTATCACCGATTAGTATAGATTCCGTACGCTAGTTCCTAGTTTCCCTCACCCCTTATATCTCCCCCTAACTTGCCTGATGTTACCTCCCTTTACCCCTTACCCCCTTGGATCTACCCCTACACTCCTCCCCATGGCCCATTACTGGTTAAACCCATTAACTAAGCTTCTATCACCGATTAGTATAGAATCTGTACGCTCCTTCCTACAGTCCATTACCCCTTTTATCCCTCCTGCCACCCCTATTAATACCTCCCTTTACCCCTTAACCCCTTAGATCTGCCCCTGGGTTCCCCCTAAACCCCTCCTCAAGGCCCATGAGTATTTAAACCCATTAACCAACACTTCCCCATTAAACACTCAATTTCCCTCTATATGTGGGTGAGTTCATACGAGGGGCTCTTGATCCAAGGAACTAAAACTATTTTTCCACTTCCTTGGATCAAACCAGGTTATTTCACATTCCCCAGGCAGTGACTCCTACGGATTTAACGCTTCCCCAAAATCGTCGATTTTTTTCCTCCCAGAACAAACAACGACTCTTGCTAAAAATTCTTAAAATAATTTATATTAAATAAATCCTGTAGTTTTAACTTATGTTTATTAACATAATTATAATAATTTGAATATTTAATTGTAAATTTATACAGAAGTTTGGAAGTTTATGTAAATTATTCAATAAATAGGTTTAAAAATCTACTTTTCAAGCATATTTGACGTTGTCTATCTTAAGAAAAATATTTTTTTTTCGATTCTGTGGCTGTGCATCTTATAAATTATTATGTAACTTATATTTTTGAGAGCTCTTAATTCTTTTCCACTTATTCACATATACTTTTTACCTCTTCTTACTAAATCATTATTTAAATATCCATTATAAAATATTTTAAATCCTGAACTTAAAAAGTGAAAAATGTATTGAATAGTATATACATCTTTGTTGATAAATAATAATAATAATAATAATAATAATAATAATAATAATAATAATAATAATAATAATAATAATGATTATGATACTACTACTACTAATAGTATAATAATACTTAATATAATAATAATAATAATAATAATAATAATTTATTTTTCAATAAAAAATATTAGAATTCGAATAAAAAAATAATATTGACTTTATGTATATATTTCCATGTAAATTAAGAATTTAATCTTATACAAAATAAATTTTTCCACTCCTGCGCAGTTAGAAAAAAAAATATTGTTAAGGGAAAGTGAGCCAAGAAAAAATTCCAGCTAAACGATATTTAAGCGACGTTTATAATATAAACATTGAAGACAACGAACACTTCCAGCGACCATTTTGGCAGGTGTTTGCTGGAAGGTGTTCCGGCTCAGGTGTTTTGCTGACAGGTGTTCATTAGCAGGTGTTTGCTGGTAGGTGTTCTAACTCAGGTGTTCACTAACAGGTGTTCTAATTCAGGTGTTTACTGGAAGGTGTTCTAACTCAGGTGTTCACTGGAAGGTGTTCTAACTCAGGTGTTTGCTGGTAGGTGTTCTAACTCAGGTGTTCACTGGTAGGTGTTCTAACTCAGGTGTTCACTGGAAGGTGTTCTAACTCAGGTGTTCACTGGTAGGTTTTCTAACTCAGGTGTTCACTGGAAGGTGTTCAAACTCAGGTGTTCACTAACATGTGTTCTAACTCAGGTGCTCACTGGAAGGTGTTTAACGCAGGTGTTCACTAACAGGTGTTCTAACTCAGGTGTTCACTGGGAGGTGTTCTAACTCAGGTATTCACTGGAAGGTGTTCTAACTCAGGTGTTCACTGGAAGGTGTTCTAACTCAGGTGTTCACTGGTAGGTGTTCTAACTCAGGTGTTCACTGGAAGGTGTTCTAACTCAGGTGTTCACTGGAAGGTGTTCTAACTCAGGTGTTCACTAACATGTGTTCTAACTCAGGTGTTCACTGGAAGGTGTTCTAACTCAGGTGTTCACTGGAAGGTGTTCTAACTCAGATGTTCACTGGAAGGTGTTCTAACTCAGGTGTTCACTGGTAGGTGTTCTAACTCAGGTGTTCACTGGAAGATGTTCTAACTCAGGTGTTCACTGGAAGGTGTTCTAACACAGGTGTTCACTGGGAGGTGTTCTAACTCAGGTGTTCACTGGAAGGTGTTCTAACTCAGGTGTTCACTGGAAGGTGTTCTAACTCAGGTGTTCACTGGAAGGTGTTCTAACTCAGGTGTTCACTAACAGGTGTTCTAACTCAGGTGCTCACTGGAAGGTGTTTAACGCAGGTGTTCACTAACAGGTGTTCTAACTCAGGTGTTCACTGGTAGGTGTTCTAACTCAGGTGTTCACTGGAAGATGTTCTAACTCAGGTGTTCACTGGAAGGTGTTCTAACTCAGGTGTTCACTGGAAGGTGTTCTAACACAGGTGTTCACTGGGAGGTGTTCTAACTAAGGTGTTCACTGGAAGGTGTTCTAACTCAGGTGTTCACTGGAAGGTGTTCTAACTCAGGTGTTCACTGGAAGGTGTTCTAACTCAGGTGTTCTAACTCAGGTGTTCACTGGAAGGTGTTATAACTCAGGTGTTCACTCTAAGGTGTTCTAACTCAGGTGTTCACTGGAAGGTGTTCTAACTCAGGTGTTCACTAACAGGTGTTCACTGGAAGGTGTTCTAACGCACGTTCACTAACTGGTGTTCTAACACACGTGTTCGCTAACAGGTGTTCTAACACGTGTTCACTAACAGGTGTTCTAACACGTGTTCACTAACAGGTGTTCTAACACGTGTTCACAGGTGTTCTAATACACGTGTTCGCTAACAGGTGTTCACTAACTGGTGTTCTAACACAGGTGTTCACTAACAGGTGCTCTAACACAGGTGTTCACTAACAGGTGTTCACTAACAGGTGTTTACTAACTGGTGTTCTAACACAGGTGTTCACTAACAGGTGTTCTAACACGTGTTCACATGTGTTCTAACACACGTGTTCGCTAACAGGTGTTCTAACACACGTGTTCGCTAACAGGTGTTCACTAACAGGTGTTCTAACACACGTGTTCTAACACAGGTGTTCACTAACAGGTGTTCTAACACACATGTTCACAGGTGTTCTAGCACACGTGTTCACTAACAGGTGTTCTAACACAGGCGTTCACTAACAGGTGTTCTAACACACGTGTTCACTAACAGGTGTTCTAACACGTGTTCACTAACAGGTGTTCTAACACGTGTTCACAGGTTTTCTAACACAGGTGTTCTAACACACGTGTTCACTAACAGGTGTTCTAACACACTTGTTCACTAACAGGTGTTCTAACACACGTGTTCGCTAACTGGTGTTCTAACAGGTGTTCACTAACAGGTGTTCTAACACACGTGTTCACTAACTGGTGTTCTAACAGGTGTTCACTAACAGGTGTTCTAACACACATGTTCTAACACACTTGTTCACTAACAGGTGTTCTAACACTTGTTCACTAACAGGTGTTCTAACGTGTTCACTAACAGGTGTTCTAACACTTGTTCACTAACAGGTGTTCTAACACGTGTTCACTAACAGGTGTTCTAACACTTGTTCACTAACAGGTGTTCTAACACACGTGTTCGCTAACAGGTGTTCTAACACGTGTTCACTAACAGGTGTTCTAACACTTGTTCACTAACAGGTGTTCTAACACACGTGTTCGCTAACAGGTGTTCTAATACACGTGTTCGCTAACAGGTGTTCTAACACTTGTTCACTAACAGGTGTTCTAACACTTGTTCACTAACAGGTGTTCTAACACGTGTTTACTAACAGGTGTTCTAACACTTGTTCGCTAACAGGTGTTCTAACACACGTGTTCACTAACAGGTGTTCTAACACGTGTTCGCTAACAGGTGTTTAACTCAGATATTCGCTGGCAGGTGTTTGCTCTAAACACCTCCCGGGCAAGAAGGACATAACCCCTCATAATTTTTTTCGACTTATTTTCAGAATTTTTCCCAAAATTCCCAAAATCAATCGACTTATCAATTATATTTGTGAGAGAGAGAGAGTGTGGACTCGACCCTCCGTCCTATAATAGTCAATTATAGGTGAGTATTGAACCTTAAAACTGGTATTATAGACCCAGGATTTTGACTCGACACTGAATTATAGGTATTTTGTCTCATAATAATTATTATAGGTGAGTATTTCTGCCCAGAATGATAATTATAGGTGATTAATTCTCCTCAGAATGATAATTATAGGTGAATAATTCTCCTCAGAATGATAATTATAGGTGAGTATTTCTGCCCAGAATGATAATTATAGGTGAATATTTCTGCCCAGAATGATAATTATAGGTGAATAATTCTCCTCAGAATGATAATTATAGGTGAATATTTCTGCCCAGAATGATAATTATAGGTGAATAATTCTGCCCAGAATGATAATTATAGGTGAGTATTTCTGCCCAGAATGATAATTATAGGTGAATAATTCTCCTCAGAATGATAATTATAGGTGAATAATTCTCCTCAGAATGATAATTATAGGTGAATAATTCTCCTCAGAATGATAATTATAGGTGAATAATTCTCCTCAGAATGATAATTATAGGTGAGTATTTCTGCCCAGAATGATAATTATAGGTGAGTATTTCTGCCCAGAATGATAATTATAGGTGAATAATTCTCCTCAGAATGATAATTATAGGTGAATAATTCTCCTCAGAATGATAATTATAGGTGAATAATTCTCCTCATTGATAATTATAGGTGAGTATTTCTGCCCAGAATGATAATTATAGGTGAATAATTCTGCCCAGAATGATAATTATAGGTGAATATTTCTGCCCAAAATGATAATTATAGGTGAATAATTCTGCCCAGAATGATAATTATAGGTGAATATTTCTGCCCAGAATTATAATTATAGGTGAATATTTCTGACCAGAATGATAATTATAGGTGAATAATTCTGCCCAGAATGATAATTATAGGTGAATATTTCTGCCCAGAATGATAATTATAGGTGAATATTTTGCATCAAAACGGTAATTATAATGGTCACACAGCCCATGGGTTTAGCGCTCCTTCCCTAATTACAGTAATGAACCAGCCACAAAGCTGGTTCGTGCTGCTTATTTTTGTCCCTCGGCAGTTTGGTTCCCCAGGTGCTGTATGACCCCTGTGGGTTTAGCGCTCCTTCCATAATTATATTAGTAAGTCAGTCACGAGGCAACAATTTTCGTGCTTCTCATTCTTTCCCCTCGGCAGTTTGGCCACATCATGGGCAACCATGCGACTTCGGGGGAGCGCCGGGACCGTAACAAACCCGGGGACTCTTTTCCGCCGTACTCCCCCGGGAGGGTCGACGGTCAGGCCTTCACCTTCGACAAACATAAGGGCCAGAAGGGACTCCAGCAGCAACCGTCAGAGGAAGATCACGAACCTGTCGTCATAAAACCCATACAGGCAAGGGGGGTCCAATGATATTTTGTTGTTTCCCATCTAACCAGCGCAAGAAACTGTTTCCATCTGATCATCACTACATGGCACTGGTCTATAGCCCATACAACCACTCTGTATTATAGTCATTATTTTTGAAGTGTTACGTTTTGAAGTCTATACAGTACAGTGGACCCCCGGTTAACGATATTTTTTCATTCCAGAAGTATGTTCAGGTGCCAGTACTGACCGAATTTGTTCCCATAAGGAATATTGTGAAGTAGATTAGTCCATTTCAGACCCCCAAACATACACGTACAAACGCACTTACATAAATACACTTACATAATTGGTCGCATTCGGAGGTGATCGTTATGCGGGGGTCCACTGTACTCTATTTTGAAGCCAAATACAGCCTGTCCTTACTTAATGATGGGGTTCTGTTCCTAAGACGACATCAGTAAACAAATTTGTCGCTGAGTGAGGAGAATACTTTAATGGTAGTGGGTTTGTGTCGCCCATCTTTGACGTTGTTTTAATGTCACCTTTGCGCCTTTTATAAAATTTTTAGTATATTTTTAAATGTTTATGCACAGTAATATACTGTATACATATTGTAATAAACAGAATAGAGGAAATCAGCTCTAATATACATTACTTAAGTAAGTTTATTCAGGTATACACAAATACAGTTACATAGATTATCATACATAGCAGTATATGTGTAGAGAACCTAGGATAACCCAAAAAAGTCAGACAGAGTGACTTATTTCCATTGGAGTCCTTTAGGTATGCACACTGGTCAGAGAACCCGTCGTAAGCCCACATCATCGGTAAACGAATACATCACTAAGTGAGGAGAGGCTGTATTGCTTTTGAAGTCCTGTATGTACTTGGTACAACATATTTTAATGTAGTAACGCTGTATGTTTATTGGATACACTGTAACATATTTGCCATATTTCATTATACTGACTGGGCTAAGTTTTCATTTCTATGTAACAGTCAGAGAAAGAAAATGAGGACCCAGTACCGGCCCGACCGCGGCCGGCACTTGCACAATGTAACAAGAAGATGCTTCCATTTGTCATCAAGTGGGTGGGCGGAGGCCAGACGGTCGCCATCGCTGGAACTTTCAACGACTGGCAGCCGATACCCATGGTCAAGAGGTAGGCAATGTCTTGCAGGAGTTATTTTATTTCCCTTTTGATTTATTAACAAATCATGCATAGCCCACACAGGCAGGGTGACGAAAAAAAAAATAAGAGAGAAAACGCATCTACATTCATTCAGTCAGTCACTGCCTTGCTGGAAATGGCAGTCAATACTCATGATCAAGAGGTAGATTATATTTTACCTCAACTATTTCAGTTCCCTTTTGGTTTATTAACAAATCACACGTATCCCACTGAGGCAGTGTGACCCACCCAAAAAATTGAAAAAACAAATTCACCATAAGTCAGTCAGTCACTGTCTTGCCAGAAGTGTGCTGACATAACAGAAATGCATTCTATCAATATGGGCTTTACCATGAATAATAAACCAGAATATAATGTATGATAAACCAAAATATTATGTATAATAAACCAGTATATAATGTATAATAAACCAGTATATAATGTATAATAAACCAGTATATAATGTATTAAAAAACAGAATATAATGTATGGTAAGCCAAAATATAATGTATAATAAACCAGTATATACTGTATAATAAACCTGAATATATGATAAACCAGCATATAATGTGCTGTGGTTTATAGAAAATGAATTCGACTTGAACACTTATGTTAAAAGTCGTTCTCCCCAATTTGTCTTTGGCCCCTCAGGGGCAGTGCCTTGTCCCTGGTAAAGGTCTCTTGATCCAAGGAATTAGGTATTCACCCCTTGGATCCACCCAGATTAGTATCTCCCATTCCCCATTAGTTGCGTGGCCCCCGTGGGTTTAACACTTTTTCTGTGAATTGAACAGTCTCTGCCTGTCTGGCTACTGTATTCTGTCTACAGTACTGTATCAGGTTTATTAGTGACAGTGATGAACTTTGTTGAAGGATTATTGTAGTCATGATTAATAAAAATAATAATAATAATAATAATAATTCTCCATGGGGAAGTGGAACAGAATTCTTCCTCCGTAAGCCATGCGTGTTGTAAGAGGCGACTAAAATGCCGGGAGCAAGGGGCTAATAACCCCTTCTTCTGTACAAATTACTAAATTTAAAAAGAGAAACTTTTGTTTTTCTTTTTGTGCCACCCTGCCTTGGTGGGATACAGCTGGCTTGTTAAAAAAAAAATATCTACGAGTACATGATACAACTTATACAGACCATAGCTGACATCAGTGACATACTATATAGAAAGCCTCTGGTTATGCAGAGCATTTCCTGCAGCTTTGGTTAATTGTCCCCAGGATGCAACCCACACCAGTCCACTAACACCCAGGTATCTGTTATTGAGATATTATTGCAGTGATGAACTTTATCAAGACATTTTACTCTTGCAACACACTTCTTTGGTCGATAAAGTTGTTCTCTGCAATACAGTGGACCCCCGCATAACGATCACCTCCGAATGCGACCAATTATGTAAATGTATTTATGTAAGTGCGTTTGTACGTGTATGTTTGGGGGTCTGAAATGGACTAATCTACTTCACAATATTCCTTCTGGGAACAAATTCGGTCAGTACTGGCATCTGAACATACTTCTGGAATGAAAAAATATCGTTAACCGGGGGTCCACTGTACTTTGTTTTTTATACTACTTTTAGATTTTTGTCATTTATTTTCATTTTCTCATTAGTTTATAATTTCAGTGAGAAAGACTTTGTGGCCATCGTGGACCTGCCGGAAGGCGAGCACCAATATAAGTTCTTGGTCGACGGGGAGTGGAAGCTCAACTGGAATGAGAGTGCTGTCAACAATGATGTAGGCTCGCAGAACAACACCATCACCATCAACGAGAGCGACTTCGAAGAGTTCGAGAACGCCCTGTTGAGGGACCCCAACGACAACAATAAGGACAAGCCGCTAGGCAGTCAGTCGCAGAACAAGGAGAAAGTGGAGGGTGAGCCTGCCACCTGGTGGCTTTCTTCAGAATATGCAAACGTAACTCTGTCTCTCACCCTAAAGCTGCTTTCTCTGCTTCAACTTCCATTGTTTTTTTTTCTTTTTTTTTATCAATGCATCGGCCATTTCCCAGCAAGGCAGGGTGATCCAAAAAAGAAGAAACACTTTCATAATCACTCACACCATCACTGTCTTGCCAGAGGTGTGTCTACACTACAGTTCGAAAACTGCAGAACATCTCCACCTATCCTTATTATTAAAGCCTCTCAACACTTAATGACAGAGTTCCATTCCTAAGACCACGTCGGTAAACGAATTCATCGCTAAATGAGTAACATACTGTAATGGTAGTGGGTTTGTGTCAACCATCTTCGATATTGTTTTAATGTTAACTTTGCACCATTTAAAACATTTTCTGGTATATTTTTAAATGTTTATACAGCATTCTACTGTATATTGTAATAAACAGAATTGAGGAAATCAGCTCTGATATGCATTATTTAGGTATGCATACTGGTCAGAGAGCCCGTCGTAAGTCCGAGTCATCAGCAAATGAGTACATCACTAAGTGAGGAGAGGCTGTACTTCAGAATTACCTCTGCACTTCTTTCACTCTCTCCAGTATATAATCTCTGTGCTGGATAGAAAAAATCTATTGATTGGCAAAATCAGTAAAGATACCGTGGTATTACATATCTTATTTGTAAACTTGTTGGCATTGTATGTAATCACCGTAATGATACATGACTTTATTATTCATGCAGTGGACAAGAAAGATGAGTTTAGTCAAGAAATTCCTGAGTACCAACAGTCGGAGAAGATTCGAGGGCCGCCGGTGCTACCACCTCACCTTCTCCAGGTCATTCTTAACAAAGATACACCCATTTCTGTAAGTCGTCACTTCTTTCAGTGTTTACCTCGGTGAAAAACAAAAAGGCACAATGCCGTGAATGGTACAATACATAAATAACCCGCACATAGGAGAATTAAACTTTCATATAATGTTTTGGTCCGACTTGGACCATTGACTAGGTGGACAAGTGTGACTAGTCAATGGTGCAAGTAGGGACTGATATACTATAAAACTAATGCAAATTAAGTTTGAGGCCTCCTAATCCTGTTGGGGCCCCAGAAGTGAGTTTAGTTCACATTGCTTAAAATTCGTCAAAAGGTGTTACAAAGAGGCCCCCCCCCATAACTTCAAATTTCATGGCCCCAAAAATGTAGGTCCGCCACTGGGTTCAAGATGGACCAAAATGTAATCATAAGTTTCTTTCTCCTGTGTGTGCAGGTTATTTGTGTATTCACAACTATGACTGCCTGGGTGTGACTGTTCATAGTACATAGGCTTCTCTAACACCTTTCGGGGAATCGGAATAATGCTATCTGTGATTAACGTATAGAGCTTTGTTGTGTTTCAAACCTGTGTGGTGAGGCGGTGTGTTGTGGAAGGGGTGAGGAAGGGTAAATGGCTGGTTTGTATGGTGTTGCAGTGGCTTTTAGAGGCTGTGGTGAAATGCATAGTGTTGCAGTGATGTTGATGGGTGATTAGGTATGGTGTAGATTGTGGACTGCTGGTTTGGGGTATTAAATGACACTGGGTGGTCGATTGGTATGGTGTAGTGGTATAGTGTAGATTTTGGACTGTTGGTATGGGGTATTAAGTAATGACAGGCGGTTGGTATGGTGTAATATGAGGTATAAGAAGTACTTGTGGCTATATGATATCATATGTAATTATTCATATTATGAGTTTATGGGTTGAGAGCTGTAGCTCTTGGTCCCACTTCGTAGCTTTCAACCAGCTGATGTACAATGTATTGTTTTATACACTGTAAATGCTTTTGACTCCTTGTGTTTTGTTGGCTTATTTCACTACATAAGTGGTGGAGTGTCAGTATGCATCTCTTGGGCCCGTGTGAGGTGATTAGTTTCAATCTTGTTTTGGAAAAGGAGAACTGCAGTAAACAAACACAAAAGATTTACACACATTCACACAAGTATAATTTACACACGTGTTGAAAAACAGTGCTACATGCACTTAAAACACCAGAATTTGCCCACTTGTACTTACAGACGAGGCCTAAAAGTATTTTGTATGCCCTGAACGTATTTCCTCTGGTTCCTTGTTCTTCCAGAGATAGAGAGACGTAGCTCACCATACTCATTCCTCATAGATCATTCCCCTCACTCCTGGCACCAGTTTTGATGCCCTTCTTTGGATTGTGTTACTTTTTGTTGTGTTTAACTAGGTGAGGGCTCCACACTGGAGCAGCATACTCAAGAACTGGTGCCATGGAAGAATGTACATATTTTTAACGGGCCTTGATCTAATGGACTTAGGAAATACAGAATAAAATTCGCTGGGTTAGTGGATTTGGAAACTACAGAGTGTGTTGGCTGGGTAGGCAACACTCGCGCATCACACACTGAACATCCATGGTTTAATCCCCAGTCAGGTAGAAATATTACGCATGTTTTTTGCCTCTGCTCTCCCTGTTCACATAACAGTAAGTAGGTGCCTGGGTGTTAATGGATTGGTGTGGGTGTCATCCTGGGGGACAAGATTGATGGACCTCAATGGAAATTAGACAGTCATAGATAACACACTGACTTTCTTGGGTTAACCTGGATGGCTGGCACTCCGAGTAAAAATCCCAACAAATCTTATCCTTCTCCATGGGGAAGTGGAACAGAATTCTCTTGTAAGCCATGCATGTTGTAAGAGGCGACTAAAATGCCCGTAGCAATGGGCTAGTAACCCCTTCTCCTGTATATATTACTAAATTTAAAAGGAGAAGCTTTTGTTTTTCCTTTTGGGCCGCCCCGCCTTGGTGGAATACGGCCAGTTTGTTGAAAGAAAGATGAAATCTTATCCTGTCTGTATCCACCACAGTCACCAGTACTGGCCACCCACTCATCTGTATTAGTCCTGTAAATTGTGGACTTGCTGTATAAGGATTTGTGATTGAACTGATGTTAATGAGTTTGTGTGTGCCTTGCAGAAGTCTTTTGTAGTAGTTGTGTGTAGATCTTCCTCCTTGACTGTTACTGTAAGTGACTCACGTGAGTCATGTTAACGGCTTTGAGGGGACTTGAGCTAGAGTTCGTCACGGCCACGCTAGCTGGAGATTCGTCTGTAAAAACTTGCATTTGTGGTCACAGTGGTGCCTATGCTAACCTTCCTATGGTGTAGAAATATACCTAGTTGGACGAATCTTATTGTGGCTAGCTGGTCCAGTGGCTAAAGCAACGGTCTGGAGTTTTGAGACTCTCTGACCGCGGGTTCAAACCCTCCCCGTGGTATGGTCTGTTACTGTAAGATCTGTTTCCTCAGGTGATTCTCTGTCAGTCCTCCTTTAGTAATTCAGTCAACACTAGGAGCAGAAGACTCCATTTTTTGTAAATGTGACCTACCTTGGGAATTACTGTATATATAGGTTGGAGGGAGGGGGTAAAGGAGGTTTTGTGTGCGAGGGGCTTGGACTTCCAGCAGGCATGCGTGAGCGTGTTTGATAGGAGTGAATGGAGCCAAATGGTTTTTAATACTTGACGTGCTGTTGGAGTGTGAGCAAAGTAACATTTATGAAGGGGTTCAGGGAAACCGGCAGGTCGGACTTGAGTCCTGGAGATGGGAAGTACAGTGCCTGCACTCTGAAGGAGGGGTGTTAATGTTGCAGTTTAAAAACTGTAGTGTAAAGCACCCTTCTGGCAAGACAGTGATGGAGTGAATGATGGTGAAAGTTTTTCTTTTTCGGGCCACCCTGCCTTGGTGGGAATCAGCCAGTGTGTTAATAAAAAAAATAATAAATAAAAAATATTGGACAAGGCAGTTTAGAGATCATCATTTAAACTGTAATATCAGCATGCTTCTAACAAGAAAGCGGTTGATTGAATGATGGGAAATGTGTTTCCTCTTAGGCTCAGCTCACCATGGTGGGAGACAGCCATGTTAAAAGTGTTGATTTTGAGAAAGAAATCAAAAGTGTGATAATGAATTAGGCACCTGGAATGCTACAAAATTCATAATCCCTCCAGCACAGGCACTTAGTGTAATTTGTAGAAAGAGATTAGACTTGGGTGATCCCAGTTCGGGTTCAAAGAGATTCGCCACTCAAGGGAGGTTCCTTGATGCTGGTGAGGGGCTCTTGATCTAGGGAATTGGACCTGTGCTCCAGTTCCCCGAATTAAACCTGAATACCTTCCACACCCCCCCCACACAGGTGCTGTATAATCCTATGGGTTTAGCGCTTGTCCCTTGATTATAATAACAATCAAAGCGGTTTGCCAGTATGGTCCCAGCCTGGGTCTTTCCCACAAGGTGGGATCCTAGAGGCTCTTGAGATCTGCTGACTTAGCCCTACTTTGTACACTATCCTCCTTGTCCTCAGATCAGACTTGATTACTGCCACCAATTACATTACCCGGGCATTGTGTTGGTCCTTAAATGTTAGCGCTTCCTAATGAATGTACCCTTGATAGGTTGCAAGAGTTTTCCTACTCCCTCGACCCAACCCCAGACCACTCTTGCCAGCTGAATACAGCACTACAAGGAATTTACTCGACTAGTGATTGTCAATGTGGTCTTGATGTTTCGTGTTTATCTGTGGCTTGATGTCACATAACCTATTTTGACACCGATACATATCTTCAACACTCAGTAGCTTTTCTTATTGGCATGTGGTAAATGTTTCATTCTCTGTATTAACTGGAAGCTAGCTCTCTCTCCCTCTCTGTCTCTCTCTCTCTGTTGCTCTCTCTCTGTTGCTCTCTCTCTGTTGCTCTCTCTCTGTTGCTCTCTCTCTGTTGCTCTCTCTCTGTTGCTCTCTCTGTTGCTCTCTCTCTGTTGCTCTCTCTCTGTTGCTCTTTCTCTGTTGCTCTCTCTCTGTTGCTCTCTCTCTGTTGCTCTCTCTGTTGCTCACTCTCTCTTGCACTCTCTCTCTCTCTCGCACTCTCTCTCTCTCTTGCACTCTCTCTCGCACTCTATCACACTCTCTCGTGCACTCTCTCGTGCACTCTCTCTCTCTCTCTCTCTCTCTCTCTCTCTCTCTCTCTCTCTCTCTCTCCTTTTTTTACACAGGGTTTAACATAGTTTAATAGGGATCCCTAACTTTATTGACAAGCTATTTACAAGGTAAGGATTCCTAACTTTATTGACAAGGCAAGAGTGCTCTCATTCTCTGTCACTCTCTCTCCAGTCTTGATACCTACAGGATGCAATCACATTATTTATTAAGTTATTTCTCATGTATATATTCATAACTACAGATGATACTACACTGCATTAGTAAGAAGTACAAGGGAGATTTAGGAGGGACTTTGCAAGGCTCTCTGTTATAAACATTATATCCACCGATACCATAAAACTCAATGTCTCAGATTTTAAATGTACATTAGAGGGACACATTAAAATGGGTCAATGACTGAAACTAATTTGATTTAAAGGGACACATTAAAATGGGTCAACGACTGAAACTAATTTGATTAACGCTTATAACATCCATGTTTGCAACAACAGGCCATGAAGAAGCAGTGGACACTAGTGACCAGGCTGTGGAGGGTACGAGGTTAATCAATTTTTTTTTTTCATTTAGTGTACAGTACCAGTGTGACACACATCACCATGATAGCTTGACAGACCTGCACGCTACACCTTGCAGCTGATCGCTTTGCTTTTGCAGCACTCATTGTCGTTTTTGCACTGTAGCACGCTAGGGGGGAGTGCAGCGAGTGGCTGCACCCAGGGTGCTATTAAGGGATTGAGGGAGCTGAAGCTCCAGGATCATCTCCAGAATACAGCCAGCTCTCTTATAAATCTCTTCAGACTAGTGTGTTTTTTTATAAATGTGATTGAAGAGGCACATCAGTTCCCCCGTCTTCTAATAACATGTTCGTTTTTCCACTATAATCTACCTTGTCCATAATTACTATCACAGTTGTTTTGTCTGTTTCGTAAAGTGAAGTCTAGGATCTTTCCTTAACCCATAAACGGTCCAAATGTATATATACGTTTTTTCAACATTTGAAAGTATGTAAAAAAAGTAGATCATTTTTTTTTTTTACATTTGAAAATGTGTAAAAAACTTTGATCTACTTTTTTTTTTGTTATACAGTGGACCCCCGCATAACGATTACCTCCGAATGCGACCAATTATGTAAGTGTATTTATGTAAGTGCGTTTGTACGTGTATGTTTGGGGGTCTGAAATGGACTAATCTACTTCACAATATTTCTTATGGGAACAAATTCGGTCAGTACTGGCACCTGAACATACTTCTGGAGTGAAAAAATATCGTTAACCGGGGGTCCACTGTATTTGAAAATATGTAAAAAAAACGTAGATCTACTTTTGTAGCACTACACATGTGAACGTAGATCTGCTTGGACCGTTTACGGGTTAATTCATGGTATAACTTAACAAATCTTCGAGGACAGTTGTGTTGACAGACCTCGACAATACAACTGTCCTCTGCAACAATTGTCATGAAAGATTTGTTAAGTTATACCATGAATTAAGGGAAGATCCTGGACTTCACCTTACGAAACAGACAGCAAACATGATAGTAATTATGTACAAGGTAGATTATAGTGGAAAAACGAACATGTTATTAGAAGACGGGGAAACTTACGTACCCCTTAACGCTTGCTCCAGCATGCCTGGTAAAGGTTTAAATTTAGGATTTACTTTTTCATTCACATTCACAAAAAAATCACACTATAGAGAGGAGCTTTGTAAAAACTCACTCTATATAAATTCACATAATTTCTCTTTTTTTTTTTTCAGATACCTTTTGAGATACCGTATCCCAAAAATGTAATATAATGTCAAATTATCTTAAAAATTTTGAATTGGTAATTTTTTATTTTTTTAATTCTAGCGTGGGGTGTATCAATAATTTCAGGTGTAAAGAATAAAGATTTTATTTCTTTGTAAACGTTACAATGTGTAATTACAATTTTTGTTTGCTAAGTACAAAGAAAGTCGCCATCATGCCGGGGCATTTTGGGAAGAATAATCCTGGTACATACGTAATAACTACTTAAATCTAGTGTAGGAGTAGTTATATACACATTAAAGTTCCCAACTTACCAATAATAATGTTGGTAGAATTACCGACAATATGTAAAGTAAAAGGACACAAGTGCAACTAATGTGACATTTTATTGTGGCAACATTTCGCTCTCCAGGAACTTTGTAACGGCTTGACAAAGCTCCTGGAGAGCGAAACGTTGCCACAATAAAATGTCACATTAGTTGCACTTGTGTCCTTTTACTGTACAACTTACCAATAGTTCAAATTACACACATCAACATCTACAAACAAGTCACTTAGAGATTAGTTTTACAACAGCTGAGTTCCAGCATAAACATGTGTGAAACACGACCATTCTCTGTACTCTGCTTTTCCGTGTACTGTGTCTTCTATTTGTTAGAAAATTAAATATCCACTTTCCAGTTTTACTTGCTCTCTTAGTTTACCTTAATTTATGTGCTATTATTATTATGGTCACCCTCGGCTCATGCTTTGTGCGGTCAATGTAGACCACGTCCGCATTTTGGTTTTCGTCAAAAGTTTAGTAATTGTGATAAGCAGAATCTTCTTGCTTTAAATTCATGTTGTATTCAGTTACTTAGGTCATGTTTCTTTCATAAAATTTGTAATTTCGTGTCTCACCAATCTTCCAAAGACTTTTGTGTGATGTTAATGGTACTGGTCAGGGATTTTTTGTCAGAGTTCTGCTGCCATAGCAGAGCTATGTTTGCATTATATAAGGCTTCTGGGATTTCACCTTGCTCTAAACCTCTTTCTCCAAAGAGTATCAATCTTCATGTTAGTAGTATTTTTCACTTCTTAACCCGTAAACGATCCAAACGTATATATACGTTTTTTCAACATTTGAAAGTACGTAAAAAAAGTAGATCTTTTTTTTTTTTTTTTACATTTGAAAATGTGTAAAAAAAACTTTGATCTACTTTTGTTTTTGTTATATTTGAAAATATGTAAAAAAAATGTAGATCTGCTTTTGTTGCACTACACATGTGAACGTAGATCTGCTTGGACCGTTTATGGGTTAATAAGTCAAGACATTCATGAATCAGGCTCGGGTGCTGTATGTGTATGGGCATTATTTTCATTTCATAATAAGAATAATAATAATCTTTATTTGTACAAGTACACAATACAACATCTACAACTTTCACAGTGTGTGAAATATTTGTAGTTTTGTCGGATACTACATGTACAGTGGACCCCCGCATAACGATCACCTCCGAATGCGACCAATTATGTAAGTGTAAAGCACCCTTCTGGCAAGACAGTGATGGAGTGAATGATGGTGAAAGTTTTTCTTTTTCGGGCCACCCTGCCTTGGTGGGAATCGGCCAGTGTGATAATAAAAAAAAAATAATAAATTTATGTAAGTGCGTTTGTACGTGTATGTTTGGGGGTCTGAAATGGACTAATCTACTTCACAATATTCCTTATGGGAACAAATTCGGTCAGTACTGGCACCTGAACATACTTCTGGAGTGAAAAAATATCGTTAACCGGGGGTCCACTGTATACGATTTGTAGGGTGGACCGAGGTAATGAAAAATCTATCTGCATCCTCCGCTCTCCTGTTGTTTAGCGCTCTGCTCAATATTGATTCATTCTTGTCTTTAGATATCACATTCTTTTCTTTTTTCATTATCAATGTATAAATCACCTCAGTAGTGGGCCAATTCTAGAAGTGGTACACAAATAACCTGCACGTAAGAAACTTAAGATATTTTGGTCCGACTTGAATCATTAACTAGTTACACTAGTGTGACTAGTTACCTGTTGTCTAGTCACATTTGTTAACTAGTCACACTAGTGTATGACTCGTTAATGGTCTAAGTCGGACCAGAACATCATCATAAGTTTCTCTCTTTTACGTGCAGGTTATTTGCGTGTTGTTCCAGTCACGGTATTGTGACTTCGTTTTTTTCTAGAGGTGGTTTTTTGAGTTGGATTTTGAATATGTCTAGAAGTGGAAACATAAACACATATGCAGTTTAATGTGATCCTTTATTGACAACGTTTCGCCCACACAGTGGGCTTTTTCAAGTCACAAACAGATCTGTTTGTGACTTGAAAAAGCCCACTGTGTGGGCAAAACGTTGTCAATAAAGGATCACATTAAACTGCATATGTGTTTGTTTCCATTGTGTCGGTATTTTATACCATTTATTTTCATGTCTAGAAGTATTCATAATTTTTGGCTATTTCCTGAATCACTTTTTTGTCTCCTGTTGCACTTCTTTTGTCTGGTATGATGTTTTTAGTTCTGACCTATATTGGTATACACTACAACTTTGTTTATTTTCTGCAGTTCACAAAATGTAGTTTACATGTATTAAAATATTGTTAAGCATCACACTATATACACAGACTTTCCTTCCTTGTGGCATAGTCTTGTTTTTACGTTGCTCAGCCTTACAACGAAGGGATGCCATAGGCTATATCATAGGACCACTTGTGTTTCACTTTCACTTTAACCCTTAACCCGTAAACGGTCCAAGCAGATCTACGTTCACATGTGTAGTGCTCCAAAAGTAGATCTAAGTTTTTTTTTTTACATATTTTCAAATATAACAAAAAAAAAAGTAGGTCAAAGTTTTTTTACACATTTTCAAATGTAAAAAAAAAAAAAAAGATCTACTTTTTTTTACATACTTTAAAATGTTGAAAAAACGTATATATACGTTTGGACCGTTTACGGGTTAAACTGTCCAAACATAGATCTACGTTTGTTTTTACATAAAGCATGTAAAATCGAATGTAGATGTACATTCGAAGCGCTACGCGAGTAAATGTAGAGCTACGTTTGGACAGTTTAAAGGTTAATGACTTTAAGCCATTTACTAGTGATAGATACTACTAATCTATCTTCAGTCAATGTCCAGTTGACCTCATCAACATATTCAGTGTTGAACTAGGAAGGATAAATGCTTGCATGGCGAGAAATTAACATTTAATATTGATAAGGCCTACTAACACACAGTGTTTGGAAATAAAGCAAAAAAAAATTGATGAAGATAATTACTGGAATACATTGAGGAAATATCTTTTTGGGTATTCATCTTGATAGGTAAATTAAATTTAATAAATATGCAAAACATATTTAAGAAAGTTTCTTAAACACTGGCATGATTTCTCTTACATTTAACACTATTTTATGCAAACTTTTTTCTAAAGTGAATTTTCTTTACTAAACATTTTCTTTTACTCCATCTAATTTTACTTATTTTTTAATAATTTACTCCATTAAACACTTTACTTTGCATGTCTTAAAACGTATTATTTGATAAGTTTTTAATTTCCTCTCGGCACTGGACGTGTTTGTGTTTATAATGTTGTGTCTTCCGGTGCAGTGTGAGCCGACGCTTCTCCCCGAGCCCAACCACGTCATGCTGAACCACATGTACGCTCTGAGCATCCGCGATGGCATGATGGTGCTCTCCACCTCCCATCGTTTCCGCAAGAAGTGCGTCACCACGCTCATTTACCGGCCCATCGAGTAGTCGGCAGCTGGCCCTCCAGAGGACCCCGAAAGCCCATGCGGCAAAAATGGCAGCAACTTGCGGGATTATGCTCGTCATGGGCAAGATTTGAACATTTTTCAATGGGTTTAGTTTGTCAAGTGACGAGCGCTGTGCTGCTCATCCCCTAATATATTGCAGATAAAGAATTTAATTTTTAAAATAAGACATAATTGCTACAAAATTAGGTGACATTTTTATCTGAAATTTTTAATTTAATATTAATTTTATACAATTTAAAAAAGGCTCTGATTTTACATAAAATTTTGGGTACACTGGAACTATGAGGTAAAAATTTTGGGTACACTGGAACTATGAGGTAAAAATTTTGGGTACACTGGAACTATGAGGTAAAAATTTTGGGTACACTGGAACTATGAGGTAAAAAATTTTGGGTACACTGGAACTATGAGGTAAAAACACTTAACACTGTATAGCCATATACCTGAAGTTAGATTATTTGAATGTTAAGTTTAATATAGTTGTCTGAAGATAACATATAAGGATAACTTTAACAAAACTATATATACGTAGTATAAATAACAAAAAAAGGCACAATACCATGACTGGAACGATACACAAATAACCCGTACATAGAAGAGAGGAGCTTATGATGGCATTTTGATCCGACTTGGACCATTTACAGTGTGACTTTGTAAATGGCCCAAGTCAGACCGAAACATCGTCATAAGCTCCTCTCTTCTATGTGCAAGTTATTTGTGTATACGCAGTATATTTTAATATTAATAAGACAAGAAATGGTAATACAAAATTAAAGTAGTATATTGATAATTTTAGTTATAATTATTGGGGTAGAAATAGTGACAATGAATGTATATCAGTGGAATTGTCCCAGTATGCTATATATGGTACATTCATCATTTATATTTTATCTATGTAAAGTTACATCAGATTCATGTGTTTTATAAATGGCTTGAAGCAGCTGTGAGAGAGAGAGAGAGAGTTTTTGGTATCAACTAGTGGAGAGTTCTATTTAAGTTTAGTATCAGAGCTATACTGTGGTACCTCAAGTTTTGAACTTACGTCGTTCGGAGAGTTCTATTTAAGTTTAGTATCAGAGCTATACAGTGGTACCTCAAGTTTTGAACTTACATCATTCGGAGAGTTCTATTTAAGTTTAGTATCAGATGTATACAGTGGTACCTCAAGTTTTGAACTTACGTCGTTCGGAGAGTTCTATTTAAGTTTAGTATCAGAGCTATACAGTGGTACCTCAAGTTTTGAACTTACGTCGTTCGGAGAGTTCTATTTAAGTTTAGTATCAGAGCTATACAGTGGTACCTCAAGTTTTGAACTTATGTCATTCCAGAAGGCTGTTCGAGTGCCGATACCGAACAAATTTGTTCCCATAGGGAATAATGTAAATTAGGTTAGTCCGTGGGCCACCCCGCCTCAGTGGGATACAGCCGGTGTATTGAAAGAAAGAATATATACAGTGGTACCTTGAGTTACAAACAGCTCCCAACTCAAACAATTATGTAAGTGCATTTTTGAGGGTGTGAAACGGACTGACCTAATTTACATTATTCCTTATGGGAACAAATTCGTTCGGTATCCGCACTCGAACAGCCTTCTGGAACGAATTAAGCTCATAACTCGGGGTACCACTGTATACATATATATTGCTGGGTCTTTTTTTCCGAGTTTTTATTCAGGTTGAGTCAAAAACTTGGAATATCACAAATTCATCCCTCCCTCTCTTAGTGCAAATCCACTATTATGTGAAGTTTTATTTCTGTCGGTAATTCTACGGTATACAGTGGACCCTTGCCTAACGATATTAATTGGTACCCGAGAACAAATATCATTAGGAAAGTTTTTTAGCGTTAGCCAAGGCAAAATGTATCGTTAGGCGAATTTAACGTTATGCGATGCGTTTGTTAGGCAAGGGTCCACTGTATATTTTTTTAACACACTGGCCATCCCCCACCAATTTAGAGTGACCCAAAAAAGAAACACTTTCACCATCATTCACACTTATCACTGTCTTGCCAGAGGTGCACAGATATGATAGTTGAGATGTCACTCCAAACAGCAAATATCCCAAACCTTTCTTTAGAATCCAGGCATTGTACTTCCCACCTCCAGGACTCAAGTCCAGCTAACCAGTTTTAGTGTGTATATGAGATATAATTACTACTTGTCAAAAGAAAAGCACGGTTTTCTTTTTTTGGGTCACCCTTTCTCGATGGGAGACAGCCAGTTCATTGAAGAAACTAAAATATGTGATATACTCTACATATGCCATATAGGATTAGTGTCCTTCACAAAGTATAGTTCGGATGCCCATGTGAAATTGTGTTTGTTGCTTGAGTTAAGTTTGGTAGAGCTGTGATGGTTGTGACAGACACCTCCAGCATGCAGTAAGGGAGTATACCTGGCATATATCTGGAGTACACCTGGAGTATACCTGGCATATATCTGAAGTATATCTGGAATATATTTGGAGTACACCTGGAGTATACATGGCATATACCTGGAGTATACATGGCATATACCTGGAGTATACCTAGTGTATACCTGGAGTATACCTGGCATATACCTGGAGCATAACTGGAGTATACCTGGAGAGGGTTTCAGGGGTTAACGCCCTGATGGCTCGGTTTGTGACCAGTTCAGTCTGTGACCAGGTTCAAATACCATCCTACTTATGACCGACCTTGGTTCCGACCAACCGGTCGTAAGTCAAAATGGACGCAAGTCAAACCTTATGCTTTTAGTACTGTATTTTATACTGTAAGGTTTAGGAGAAACACTGTGTACAATACAAACAGTTGTTTATTTGCATACAAAACATTCGTAGGCATGAAAACATACAAAAACATTCGTATGCACGAACAGAAAAGTGCAAAATAAGCTAAGCTGTAAACAGTACAGTCGTAAGTACGAGTGGTCGTACGTCGAGCAGGTTGTAAGTCAGGTGGTAGGTGTATATATTTTATCATGTCTATGTGTTGTGTTGCAGCTGGGTTAATACAATACAGTGGACCCCCGGTTAACGATATTTTTTCACTCCAGAAGTATGTTCAGGTGTCAGTACTGGTCGAATTTGTTCCCATAAGAAATATTGTGAAGTAGATTAGTCCATTTCAGACCCCCAAACATACACATACAAACGCACTTACGTAAATATACTTACATAATTGGTCGCATTCGGAGGTAATCGTTATGCGGGGGTCCACTGTACTTGTATTAAATGTCGTGTATATATAGTTTGCACAGTAGTAAGCGCAGGTGTTCTGTATGTTGAACAAGTATGAACAAGTATTGGCGGTGTGTTGTGTGGAACCTGAGTCGTGTTTATAATAGATTTTTGTTGAATTATCATTAGTTTTAAATGATTTACTGTTGTAGATTAGCATGTATAACTGTGTGTAATTATAACCTCAATTTTTAAAGGGGCTGAGAGGTAAGCCAGTGAAAGGCCTCAGTCAGATTACCAAAAGCTCCAGCTGTGGGTCATCATCTGACTAAGACCCACGTCAAAAAATACTTGTCATGTTTCTTAACGAACCTCATCTAACCTGACCTAACACTAGTCCTGTTTCCTGACATACCTTACCTAACCTGACCTAACACTAGTCCTGTTTCCTGACATACCTTACCTAACCTGACCTAACACTAGTCCTGTTTCCTGACAAACCTTACCTAACCTGACCTAACACTAGTCCTGTTTCCTGACAAAAACCCTTACCCAACCTGACCTAACATAGTCTGTTTCCTGACATACCTTACCTAACCTGACCCAACACTAGTCCTGTTTCCTGACAAACCTTACCTAACCGACCTAACACTAGTCCTGTTTCCTGACATACCTTACCTAACCTGACCTAAAAACTAGTCCTGTTTCCTGACAAACCTTACCTAACCTGACCTAACACTAGTCCTGTTTCCTGACATACCTTACCTAACCTGACCTAACACTAGTCCTGTTCCCTGACAAACCTTACCTAACCTGACCTAACACTAGTCCTGTTTCCTGACAAACCTTACCTAACCTGACCTAACACTAGTCCTGTTTTCTGACAAACCTTACCTAACCTGACCTAACACTAGTCTGTTTCCTGACATATCTTACCTAACCTGACCTAACACTAGTCCTGTTTCCTGACAAACCTTACCTAACCTGACCTAAACACTAGTCCTGTTTCCTGACAAACCTTACCTAACCTGACCTAACACTAGTCCTGTTTCCTGACAAACCTTACCTAACCTGACCTAACACTAGTCCTGTTTCCTGACAAACCTTACCTAACCTGACCTAACACTAGTCCTGTTTCCTGACATACCTTACCTAACCTGACCTAACACTAGCCCTGTTTCCTGACATACCTTACCTAACCTGACCTAACACTAGTCCTGTTTCCTGACAAACCTTACCTAACCTGACCTAACACTAGTCCTGTTTCCTGACATACCTTACCTAACCTGACCTAACACTAGCCTGTTTCCTGAATGCCTTACCTAACCTGACTAACACTAGTCCTGTTTCCTGACAAACCTTACCTAACCTGACCTAACACTAGTCCTGTTTCCTGACATACCTTACCTAACCTGACCTAACACTAGTCCTGTTTCCTGACAAACCTTACCTAACACTAGTCCAGTTTCCTGACAAACCTTACCTAACCTGACCTAACACTAGTCCTGTTTCCTGACAAACCTTACCTAACCTGACCTAACACTAGTCCTGTTTCCTGACATACCTTACCTAACCTGAAATAACACTAGTCTGTTTCCTGACATACCTTACCTAACCTGACCTAACACTAGTCTGTTTCCTGACATACCTTACTAACTGACTAACACTAGCCTGTTTCCTGACATACCTTACCTAACCTGACCTAACACTAGTCTGTTTCCGACAAACCTTACCTAACCTGACCTAACACTAGTCCTGTTCCTGACAAACCTTACCTAACCTGACTAACACTAGTCCTGTTTCTGACAACCTTACCTAACCTGACCTAACACTAGCCCTGTTTCCTGACATGCCTTACCTAACCTGACCTAACACTAGTCCTGTTTCTGACAAACCTTACCTAACCTGACCTAACATAGTCCTGTTTCCTGACATACCTTACCTAACCTGACCTAACACTAGTCCTGTTTCCTGACAAAACCTTACCTAACACTGTCAGTTTCTGACAAACTTACTAACCTGACCTAACACTAGTCCTGTTTCCTGACAAAACCTTACCTAACCTGACCTAACACTAGTCCTGTTTCCTGACATACCTTACCTAACCTGACCTAACACTAGTCCTGTTTCCTGACATACCTTACCTAACCTGACCTAACACTAGTCCTGTTTCCTGACATACCTTACCTAACCTGACCTAACACTAGCCCTGTTTCCTGACATACCTTACCTAACCTGACCTAACACTAGTCCTGTTTCCTGACAAACCTTACCTAACACTAGTCCAGTTTCCTGACAAACCTTACCTAACCTGACCTAACACTAGTCTGTTTCCTGACAAACCTTACCTAACCTGACCTAACACTAGTCCTGTTTCCTGACATACCTTACCTAACCTGACCTAACACTAGTCCTGTTTCCTGACATACCTTACCTAACCTGACCTAACACTAGTCCTGTTTCCTGACATACCTTACCTAACCTGACCTAACACTAGCCCTGTTCCTGACATACCTTACCTAACCTGACCTAACACTAGTCCTGTTTCCTGACAAACCTTACCTAACCTGACCTAACACTAGTCCTGTTTCCCGACAAACCTTACCTAACCTGACCTAACACTAGTCCTGTTTCCTGACATACCTTACCTAACCTGACCTAACACTAGTCCTGTTTCCTGACAAACCTTACCTAACCTGACCTAACACTAGTCCTGTTTCCTGACAAACCTTACCTAACCTGACCTAACACTAGTCCTGTTTCCTGACAAACCTTACCTAACCTGACCCAACACTAGTCCCGTTTCCTGACAAACCTTACCTAACCTGACCTAACACTAGTCCTGTTCCTGACAAACCTTACCTAACCTGACCTAACACTAGTCCTGTTTCCTGACAAACCTTACCTAACCTGACCTAACACTAGTCCTGTTTCCTGACATACCTTACCTAACCTGACCTAACACTAGCCCTGTTTCCTGACATGCCTTACCTAACCTGACCTAACACTAGTCCTGTTTCCTGACAAACCTTACCCAACCTGACCTAACACTAGTCCTGTTTCCTGACATACCTTACCTAACCTGACCTAACACTAGTCCTGTTTTTCCTGACAAACCTTACCTAACACTAGTCCCGTTCCTGACAAACCTT